TAATCAAGGGAGGAGAAACAAGCACGTTATGAAGGTGTAGATCAGTGGAGGATGTGGGAATGTGGGTGGAAGCTGTATGCGTGACAGGCAGCTTGGCACCATTGCCGACAGTGATACAAGAGGAGAAAGGAAGAGGACGGGGATGAGCAAGAATACCAGGGGTGGAGGACATATGTGCTGACGCACCGGTGTCGAGGAACCAATCCGCAGCGCTCGGAGGAGTGGTGGTGGCGACGCCGGCGGACTGCAAGGCGCTGTAGAGCGCACTGTTGTCCCAGGCGCCGGTGGAGTGAACTCCTGGAGATGCCGGAGGAAGAGCCGGAAGCAGGTGCTGCGCGGTCATGGCCTGTTGGGCCTGGAACGGCGGGCGAGGGCCCAACACACCCGCGCCGGGAGCCCGGAACGGGAAAGGCCAGGCCTGGACAAAGCCTGTCCAGGGGTTGTAGCCCCAAGGCGCAGGAGGGCGAGGCTGGCCGTCGTGCCCGGCACCAGCGCCGCCGCCAGGAGTCGAAGGAGCGCCGCCAGGTGGGGCGCCGCCGCCCCGGCCACGACGCTTGCCCCGTCCCTTGGGACGAGGCTGGCCGGTGGTGTCGGAGGTGCCGGAGGAAGACCCGGTGCCGGCGTAGAGGGCCTCCCCGGCTTCAGCCTTGGCGTCGTGCTGCATCTGGAGCTCCGCCAGCAGCAGGTAGGAGCGCGCGGTCATGAAAGTGTGTGGCGGATTCCGGTCGGCGATGCTGGCGCGGAGGGAGCGGAACTTGGTGTTGAGGCCGCGCAGGAGGTTGAGCACCTGGCTGGGCTCAGACACGGGCATGTTGATGTCGCGGAGGCCGTCGGCGAGTTGCTTCAGCTTGGCGGTGTACTGCGTGATGGTCATGTCACCTTGATTGATCGAGCGGAACTCGGTCTCAAGGTAGACAGACCGTTGGACGGCGTTGTCGCGGAAGACGCCTTCGATGTCGCTCCACACGGTGAAGGCAGAGGCGCGGGGCTTGTAGACGACGTCGAAGACGTTCTTGGCGATGGAGTTGTGCAGCCAATTGACCACGCAGTGATCCGCACGGCGCCACTCGGCAGTGCGGAGGTCGAGAGCGGGCGGCTCCTGAACATGGGCCTCAAGGCCGAACTTGCCGAGGACCGATTCGAAGCTGCAGCGCCACTGGCTGTAGTTGGAGACGTCGAGATCGAGGACGACCGGGACGTGGGAGCGGATGTTGACGGTTTGAAGAACAGAGGTGGAAGGCGCCGGCACAGGCTCTTCGTCAGAGGTGGACGAGGCGTCGGAAGCGCCGGAGCTGTGCGACATGGCTAGCAAGGGAGAGGTAGCGGAAGACTAAGATCAGAGGGTCACTGATACCATGTAGAAGGAGATTTGGATCAACCGTAACTTTCATTGATCAATGGAGCTTATATTTATACATGTACAACAAGGCTTGGGAGTTGCCTGGGCCTAACTAATCCCCTGATCTAAGGGACGTGCAGCGGTGCGAGCGGAGCGAGGAGCGCTGCGCGTCGTGCGCGGGGTGCGCGTCGTGCGCGGGGTGCGCGTCGTGCGCGTGGAGCGCGCCGCGAGAGTCTGACGAAGCCGTTCGCCAACAAGAAGAAACAGACGTGCATTGCGCCCCATGCCCAATCAAAAGTATTGGCGTTGGCGGCCGTGCAGTTCAGTACAGAGTACAGTATCCCAATGCAAAGATTGCAGCGTTGCTGTTTGCAGTGCCAGTGCCGACATGTCGTTGGTTGCAACCACTTCACTGACACCACCACGCGCCGCCGCCCGCCGGCCGGCCTCACCTCACCATCTTTCTGGGAGCCCCGCCCGTAAAAATATTTTTCGCCGCCAATCACCTGCTTCCTGTTAGGAACCAAGTGGGCTACTAATGGGCCAGTACTCAATTCACACAAGATGGCTCAAGTACATTTAAAGGAAGAGATACAAAAGAAACAACAGCAGCTCTTCCAGGGGATCGAACAAAAGGCGGCACAGGACGGCGATTAGCCTCGGCTAGGCGATCGGTGGCGGTGGTGGCTTGGATCCAGGCTTGGATCCTCGTCGAGTACCTATCCCCTCCTCCACCTCCCATCCCCTTAGCTTTTAGAACCTTCTAGCTCCTTTATTTCCCATGTTCCACTACCGAAACATCATTATTGATTGGATCGGTGTTCATAGGTGAAGTTGTTGTCATTTGGTGATTTGGTTGCTAACACTTCCATCTCGGTGGCAACCCCGTGGAGCACACGCCGCCGGCGAGGCGAGACGACGCGTACGTACATGGGCCGGGGCAGCGGCAGTATGGAATGGGCCGTGACGGTTGGGCTACAAGGGCTATATTTCGAAGGCATGGGCCTGGTTTATTTTTGGGCTGCTACAGCCACCCGCCGCTGGTGGCCCATCTGCGTGATGTCGTCAACGGCGAGACCACACGGTGACGTCACCGTCCCGGACCCCGCTGGTGGCCCCCACCTCCCGGGAGCACACAACAGTCGACACGACGAACTGTACCTTTGGGGCGTGAGAGAAGTTGTGGTGGTACAACGTTAAGGCTGTAGCCACGCTGGCAGATCAGACTCCGGACAGCATTTAACACGGTCGTTGCAACTTAGGATTATTTTTTACTATGGGTGTTTAGATAAGGGATGTAAAATTTTTACGTGTCATATCATATTATCACATAGGGTGTTTGGATAGTTACATAATCCGTCAGTAAACCGCGAGACAAATTTATTAAGCCTAATTAATCCGTCATTAGCAAATGTTTATTGTAGCACAACATTGTCAAATCATGAAGCAATTAGTCTTAAAATATTCATCTCGCAAATTAGTCGCAATCTGTATAATTAGTTATTTTTAGTCTATATTTAATATTTCATACAGGTGTTCGAACATTCGATATGACAGGGTGAAAAATTTTAAGGTGGGATCTAAACAGGGCCTATTTCATCCCTCTCAAAATATAAAAAACTAGAATTGTTCATTACACTATGAAATATCTCATTCGATTCTAGATTCTTATATTTTGAGATTAAGTCCGTCCTAACATAAATGAACTTAGAATACGATGTGACACATCCTCCGTTTTATATTATATAAGTTACTTTTATTTTTTTCTAGTCATATTTAAGCAAATTTATAGAAAAATTTAGCAACTTCTAAAACATCAAATTATTTTCGTTAAAATCGACATTGAATATGTTTTGATAATATATTTGTTTTGTGCTGAAAATATCGCTGCGTTTTTTTTTATAAATTTTATTTGTTTTACCTTAAAAAAAGGTTTAACTAGGATACCAAAATAATTTATAATATAAAACGGAGGAAATGATTTATTTTGAGATGGAGGGAGCAGTCTACTGTGGACAGGTCCAGGAGAGAGGCTCTGTTCATCGCCATATCAGGGTTGGGCTTGGGCTTCGACTCCTATGTACCTACCACATCAACCTAGTACCTCCGTTTTTTTTAATAATTTGCCCAGGTAAAAAAATGTGATGTTTCCGTTTCACCGCTCAAAGTGTAACTAGATCATCTCAATCAATTAGTCTTATCTGCTTTGGTTAATGGTTAGGTCAGTGATTGGGACCTAAAACTATAGTTATTCATGATAGAAAACAGTGTTCAATTTTGACACTGCTCCACTGTTAGACGACCTACCACCACCACCGTTCAAAGTCACGCAAACAGCATTCCAGTTCCTGTCCCGGTATTGCTTCGAAGCTGTTTTCTTCTCACGCATCAGCTGGGCTGGATTGACGGTTCACCGGGTTTGCCGGTTTTTCAGCTGCTGCCTGCATCTGCAAGACTGCACGCTGCTAAACTGAAAACGAAAGAAGATTTCAGAGATATCAGACTTTCAGCAAGCTGGATAGCCAAACCTGATCCGTGAAGCTATAGCATAGCCGACAAGAGATCAAGGAAAGCGACTGATAAACATGGCATTCACTTGGCCTAGTGGTTGGCAAAAAGGCAAAAAAAAAAAGAAGAACAAGAGGCAGGCAATGTGCACTGCATCCTCTGGTCGGTCAGAAATGGATCACGCATATATTCAGATTATAATTCAGACTGAAATGCAGCGGCAGTACACCAATTCCTTTCGTGTCACTGTCAGCTGCACTAAACTGACATGGGATCGATCCCTTTCCACGCCATGGATTGTGCAACAGACCAATACAGCAAAAAACACATAAACTCAAAGTACTTCACTGCTTGGATGGATATGAAACAGATGGCTTTTTAGTTTTTACACCGTGTCTGATACTAAAGAAAAAAAGGGCCTTTTTTTTTGCTGCTACTGATGATGAAGATTAAAGCTAGCATTTTTACAGATCGGCAGAGCACATCTCGACGAAGGATTTTGTTGGGCAGGAGAAGGCGGAGAGTGAGGGACAAGGCACCACGGGAGGAAGTAGAAGATAGGGTGAAGTGGAAGAACACTGTTCATGTCAAAAAGGAGAGTTCTTGCTTGCTTGCCGATAAGCATGTGTGGGTGTGGCTTCCACTCTCAGTCACTTCAGAATGAATCTAACTGACCCTATGCAAAAAAAAAAAAAGAAATTTCTTCTAATGTTAATTAGTATTGGTAGTATTACAGCTAACTGACAGAGAAGCAACTGACATTAAAAAAAGTTTCTGTTGCACTATCCAAAACACACGTCAGTTTATAATCATAGTTTCGGCCTACTTTCAGGGTCTGAATTCTGGCTGAATAAAAAAAAATCTAAGCATGCAGAGAAAAGGTGCAGAAAAAGGAGCTATAAGCTTCGAGACAGACAACCAAAATATCCACACGCAATTTTCCCCTCCAAATCCAAAGCACGTACTCTCACAAAAAGAGAAAAAGAAATAAGCACCCAAAAAAAAAGGGAAGAGGAGGCAATGCCACCGGTGGGGCCCACATGTCGGCGGGATGGTGGGGCCCACAGGTCAGGGAGGTGGGGCCCACGGGGGGGCGCGCGCGAGAGGCACATCCAGCCGTGCACAGCTGCGGCAGATGGGATCACACGAACCTGCACGACCAACTCCTCCTCCACAGCCTCTCTCTCTCTCTCATCAAATCCACGAGCTTTCTCTCTCTCTCTCTCTCTCTCTCTCTCTCTCCTCCTCCTCCTCTCCTTCTCCTTCCCATCGCCACCAGCTTCTCCGGCCGTCCGCCATCGCTGCTGACCGCAGCATCCGCAGCCACAGCTTCTCCGACGCCGGCGACGGCCGTTTCCCCCCCGGAGGTGAGCGCTAGCTGCTTCCCGTTGTTCATCCGGCCTCTCTGATCTGATTCTGATCTTGCGTTCTTTGGGTTGGATTCCTGATTGCTGTTTGGGGGAAAAATAAATAAATAAATAAGGGGATCTTTTCTGGTTTCGTAGTGGGGGCATTCTTGGCTTTGTATTCGAACGCGGGAGCTGCGAAATGGCGTGGTTCTTGGTGATTTGGAAACGGATTTCATTTCATTTCTTTTCTTTTCTTTCCTGTTATTGATGCGATTGATGTTTCTATTTCTCGCTCGATTTCGTCTCGGTACGGCTCGAATGATGACCAATCGAAAAAGTACTGTTTCTGTGTTCCCAAAAAAAAAGAAATTATAACGATTTTTTTGCTGATCGTTCTTCTGTTTACAGGGCCAATGAAAAAGCTGCATCTTCTTTTTCTTTTTTTCTCCTCTTTAAAATGGTTTCGTTTCCGAGCAGAATACGAATACGGAAGAGTGTGAATCATGAGCGGAGGCGTCGAGCCGGAGACCCCGCCGGGTAGCAGCAGCGGCGGAAGCACGCCGGTGGGCGGCAAGCCGCCGCGCCACCACCTCACGTCCATCCGCCACTGCGCCAGCAGCGCTCGCATCGCCGCCGCAACCGCAGAATTCGTAATCATCCTCGCTACCTACCTATCGCCCTGTCCAGAGAATTTGGCTCCCAATATTGTGTTTCTGACATTTTCTTTCGTTGCTTTGTTTGCAGGACCTGGGTGCGGGGACGCTGAGCTTGATCTCGCCCACGGACATTCGCCCTGGCTTCCTGCCGGTGTTCCGTTCCGGGAGCTGCGCCGATATCGGTACCAAATCGTACATGGAGGACGAGCATGTGTGCGTCGATAACCTCATCGAGCACCTGGGAGTGCGTACACCTGTGATCCCTGCACCGGGTGCCTTCTACGGGGTGAGTTGGTTTGCATTTGCATCAAAGTTTTGGAGGCTTGCTGTTCAGTATTCAGCAATATATGTGCTCATTATGGACCAATGATTTATTCCGTTGCCAGTGGTAATATTGTTGCCATGATAGTTTCTTGGTGTGCTCATTTGGTCGTACACATCATGGTGCAAATAATTGCATATTAGTGTGGTTGATGATGATGTACTCGTGGTGGGAATGATTGCATCAGGCGAATCAGCTCATTATGAGCATTTATAATTCCTCTTAAATTTTCTTATTAGGTTGTGCAAATGTGCAATAGCCTTTGTGACCCCCAAAAATGTTAACTAATCAGCATATAATTTCTTTTCATGGAACACTAAAATATTATCGGTAAACGGTAGACTGTCAAGCATAGTAGAGTGGGCAAGATGTTGAATTTTAATATGCTAAACTATGCATTGTATATAAAAGGAGCATGCATGTTGTTATTTGAGATTTTCAGTTAACTATTTTTCATTCTGTACGGGAGTTTTCACAGCAGATGTTTAATAGGTTCAACTTTTTGGGGGTAATTTACAGGTGTTTGATGGTCATGGTGGTACGGACGCTGCTTGTTTTGTTCGGAAGAACTTACTGAGGTTCATAATTGAGGATGGTCACTTCCCCAGCAGCATAGAGAAGGCAATCAGGAGTGCATTTGTGAGGGCTGATCATGCAATTGCGGATTCCCATTCTCTTGACCGCAATTCTGGGACTACAGCATTGACAGCACTTATTTTTGGCAGGTAAATTCTAACGCCAGTATCTCAAATGTTTATTCCAGTGGTACAATGCACTATTGAGTCATTAATCGATGCTACTTTAATGCGAAAAGTTTCTCAAGTCTGTACTGAAATTTTCCATTCATGACATCATATTGTAATCCAGTAGCCTCTGCTAGTTAGTATCCAAACCACTAGTGGCAGAGAAATGAGTATTAGCATTTAAAGTCAAGCTGACTCAATTATGAGGTGTTTCTGCAACTTCAATTAGTTATTAGATACTATTTTAGCTGATTTGTGAATGGAAATAATTTTTTATCCATCGGCTATTTCACATTTTTTTAGAGAACAAATCATATATTAACCCGGCTTTGCAATAAAGCCCAACATAACAAGGTTCGACAATTTTAGCTGATTTGTGAATGGAAATAACTCCTTTCTCATTTTTCATCCATCGGCTAGTTCACTTTTTTTTAGAGAACAGATCATATATTGACCCAGCTTTGCAAGAAAGCTAACATAACAAACAGACCATATATTGACCTGGCTTTGCAAGAAAGCCAACATAACAAGGTTTAAAAAAAAGCGATATCGCCCACCGTGGGGCTTGAACCCACAACCACAAGGTTAAGAGCCTTGCGCTCTACCGACTGAGCTAGACGGGCTTTTGGCTGTTACATTTTCTTTACAGAACATACCATATATTGACCCGACTGAACTAGACGGGCTTTTGGTTATTTCATATTTTCTTTAGAGAACATACCATATATTGACCTGACTTTGCAAGAAAGCTCAACATAACAAGGTTTAACAAAAAAGCAATATCGCCCACCGTGGGGCTCGAACCCACGACCACAAGGTTAAGAGCCTTGCGCTCTACCGACTGAGCTAGACGGGCTTTTGGCTGTTTCACATTTATTGCTTCATTGTCCAATATCACAACAAAGCGCAAAGTTCTTTCCTGCTCCTTAATAAGTTGGTTGTGTTGCCTTAGTTGCTTGACAATCTTTAGATCAATTATATCATTTTGCATATTATGGTGAATATACCTCATTTGAATGGCAGGACATTGCTCGTTGCAAATGCAGGAGACTGTCGAGCGGTATTAGGGAAGAGAGGCCGAGCTGTTGAGTTGTCAAGAGACCATAAACCCAGCTGCAGAAGCGAAAAGATCAGAATCGAGAACCTTGGTGGTACTGTCTTTGATGGCTATCTCAATGGTCAGCTGTCTGTAGCAAGGGCGATTGGTGATTGGCACGTGAAAGGTTCCAAAGGGTCCATAAGCCCTCTCACTGCAGAGCCAGAGTTTCAGGAGGTTAGACTCACCGAAGAAGATGAGTTCTTAATAATCGGCTGTGACGGGCTTTGGGATGTGATGACCAGCCAGTGCGCTGTCACAATGGTAAGGAAAGAGCTGATGACACACAACGATCCGGAAAGATGCTCGCAAGAGCTAGTTCAAGAGGCTCTGCGACGGAACTCATGCGACAACCTAACTGTAGTGGTTGTGTGCTTCTCATCAGACCCACCACCTCAGATCGAGGTCCCAAGATTTCGAGTACGAAGAAGCATTTCGATGGAAGGATTGCATATGTTAAAGGGAGCTCTTGACAGTAATGCCTGAGTTCTCAAAACCTGCCTTCTCTGGTAACTTTGGTTGTATGATCTTGTTTTTCTGTTGGGTCCTTGAAAGTTTTGCTCTGTTCTTTCAGCTATAGGTTCGAAATAAGTTGTGTAGAATTACTGAAATTTTGTTGAGGTGTAGGCTAATCATTTTGTGAGGCGATGATTTATCTGTACCGGCGCCAGCATTTGGTTGTTCACAATGTAATTGACCAATACCAGCATTCATATTCTGGTACAAGTGCCAGTTATAATAGTTGATCAGTTTTGTTCTACTTCAGACTTCAGAGTTTTCACTTTGTCTTGTAAAATCTACTTCCTGCTATGCTTCCTCTTGAGATACCAAAGCAAAGAAAAACCACCTTCTATGTTCAGAAACAACTTATCTATGGGAACATATGCATAACAGAAGATATTCTGAACTTTTTCATCTATTAGTTTCGGTTTAGAGAAACTCGAATACTACAGCATTTGAAAGGCTTTGGTTGCTGCACTTCCACTTATCATTGCATTCTTCTTTCAATTAAATCCTAGAGGCAATCATGTATGTTTTTCCTTGTTTGCTAGCATATATAATAATACAGTTCAGTAACCTGAGTACATTAACTTGCCTGAATATTTGACCAATTGCAATGGATTTGCCTTGCCAAATTATTGGTGTCAATTAACTCAATCAGCAGCTTCAAGACAGAAGATTCTGAAAAAAAAAACAAGCGATTCCTCAGAAGTTGTTGGGACCTGACCTGATCTGAGGAAGCTTGTGCCCGGTTTCCTCGCATCCTGCCGCCATTGTTGGTGGAGCACATGGCCATGTGAGCCTTCAAGGAGCAACCAAAGGGGTCGCCGCCCCAACCCCCCGCAGACGCCGGCGACCGCGGCGGCGGAGCCTGAGGTGTGGGAGGATCTCTCCGGCATGCCGCTCGGAGCCGACCTGATCTCCGGCCGCCGGAGAGGATCTGATGGGGACGGAGGGGAGGGAGGCAAAGCGGCAAAAGAAAAAGGACTACTTTGTAAATCTCACCATAACTAACAAGGGTATTTCTATAAATTTATGGATCGCTATCATTCCTGGCTTTTTTGTTGTTGTAAAATTAATCACAGAAAATCTACGACTAGCGACTCAAACCAGCGAATTCCTCGCAAATTTTGAATTTTCCTTACCGATCAGGCTGAGTTGTAAAGAGTAGTTGGAGAGGCTATTCTGTCCTTTTTCATCATGGGCATGGTTTCTAAACTATTAATTGATGTATTTTTATATTAAAAAAACATTTCATATGCAAGTTTTTCTAAAAATTAAATAAATTCATTTTCTAGGTTTACACTGGCTAATATTTAATCAATCATGCGCTAATGACTCTTTATACTTTTCGGGTCAGAAAAAGATCTCATTCCAAGCCTTTCTTTCAAAAGCAGCCTAAATACACTGCTGAATCATCCCTCCCCTCATCCGAGAACCGTAGTTAGGTTATAGGTGCTGATGCTAAGATACAGGTGCTCCTGATGCTAGTTTGTATTCTCTGTGTAGGTTCGTATTATTAGGATGTGTCTCATCTGATCAAAATTGTGTTAGATTTAATTGGGTAATTGATCCATTTAAATCAATTAAATCAAATAAATTCCAAGGCTCATTATGCTAGGAATTCATGTGAATTCATTCTTTTATAGGATATCAATGGGATGAAGAGTTTTGAGAATTAATCTATTTGATTAGGGAATTGGTAATTTATATCAATTAGTCCTAATTGATGGATGGTTGATGGTTGTATAGTGGAGGATGGTTCATGGCTAGTTGATGACAATTAGTTGCTCTATTCCTCTTCCTATTCCATTGGTGATGGTTGTGTAGTGGAGGATGGTTGATGGCTAATTGATGAGAATTAGTTATTCTATTCCTCTTCCTATTCCATGACTCTTACTCTTTATCTTCCATTCCTCTTATAAAATGAGAATGGATTTGATCTCCCGCGAAAGAGGAAGACACACTTTCATCCATTTTCCAATGCTGTTGCTGCTACGGTAATCCCATCCCGACGAGTGTGTGCACATGCGTTGGGAGAGTGGGCCTCCGAAACCACGCGTTGCTGCGACGTTTGCACAGACGGGCGGGCGATCAGGTTTTTGGGAGCGCAAGGCGCGACTACTCACTGTTCGTCAACATCAACTTCACCTTCACCAACATGTCAAACACTAGAGACAAGGAGAAGGAGACTCCCGTCAACACCAACGGAGGCAATACTGCCTCAAACTCCAGCAGAGGACCATTGTTGGGGTATAACCTTATTACATTATTTCAATTAGAAGTTTTACTGTTAATGTTCATCGCAATGTCAACATTGTGTTATTATGTGATTATTGATGCTTATTCAACGTTAAGCATGCTCATGTTGATTACATTCACCACTATCACTGGATCAAATCCCATTGTAAATATCATGTTTATTATCTTGTTATTTTGGATTAAAATATGCCGAATTATGACCAAATTTCCAACAAATTGTTTATATTTTAGAATATATGAAGTAATCCTATATACCTATAAAGTTGATCCCCACTAACTGCAATTACTACTATTTTTCTGTTTTGTGGTGCATCCACGTTACCAAAATTGTTTACCACCGTTAGATTTTATTTCCAAGGCTGTGATTAGTCTAGATATAGCTTCAGTCTGCAGACCACAATCTATCAAGTGAGTCTAGCCCAGCGAGGAGGCAGGCCCCAAACCAATTAACTCCCATGATAATTGTGTTGTATGCATCGCTTAATTTTCTATGTTAATTACTACCACCAATAAACTAAACAGTTACATGCATATATTCATCAATTGCATTTCTTGACTCGACCTTTCCTTTCATCTACCCTTTCACCTCACTATTTATATGCCTGATCTCCACAATGGCATGTCTTAGCCATCGTATAGGATCAAAACATATTCTTTGTGATACCAGTGGATGCAATGGCTGTGATCTCTTCAAATTACTGATGGTTTTCTTGATGTATTATGCTGTCAATGCCATGCTACAGTCATTTCTTCATGGTAATTTGGTTTGTGGTGTGTTCCTTTCCTCGGCCTACAATTTAAATTATTTTTTTTATTTTACTCATAAATATTCACGTTGCTATTTTCTTTCTTTCTCATGTGTTCTTTGTTGATTGGTTTTTGCTCACCGTGATCTGAAGTTCTTCAGTTTTTCTACTGCTTATATGGATATTGATCCTGTTGATATTGCTTCATGGCAATGAGCAACTAAGCTCCCTATACGACCACTATTTTTTCTATGATATTCATTCATACAGCAATGATTCTTTAAGTTTATTATCGGGTATTAATTAAAGTTTACTTGCAATTTTATAGCAGGCCTATATCTTTGTTAGCATCGGAATGATGCGTGTCAGCCTAAGTTCATTAGCATGGATGAATGAACAATCTTCCTTTCCAACGACCTGGCTCAGTTGAAGCAAGCATCAGAAAATGCGTAACTCCATCTTGCTATTAATTATTGAATTTTTTGTAAGTTTTTTAATAGTTGCAAGGTGTATTTAAATAACAACAATCAAGTGTACCTGGCGCTTGAAGTATGTATAAATTTAGATAGTACAAATGTAGGTATACAACTGACTAGATATATGTTGTGCCTAAAGTTTTCTTTTATCATATAAAAGTATCGCAGCAACGCGCGGGGTACTCATTCCAATTTTCCCTTAAATAAATGATCCATTCATGCCAAAATCGATGTGATAAAAAAAATTTAACTGGGCCGGGCTGAGATCTACAACAACCGGACGGGCCAAGAGTCCATGACAAAATTTCCACTTGGAAGTGGAGACTCAAGCGGCCCAATACATACATTACACCGTCTCTTCCAAATTTTTCTAGCTACGAGTAGCTGTTAGCTGCTATGCTGTACGTACGAACATTCATGGACACGAAGCTACTAGGTGTACGGTCACAAGGACAGGTCCAAGCTGACGACGCTGCTAAGCATGGCCGGAGTACTCCGCCGCGAGCAGCCACCGGCGACGAGGCTCGTCGTCGACGACGGCGACGAGATCAGCCAGTTGCTGCTGCTGCCTTCGCTGCAGCAGTATGCGCCGGCGCCGCCGCTGCTCCGGCAACTGAGCCCCGAGTCCAGCGTCAGTGACAGCGAGAGCTCGTCGCCGTCGCCGTCACGCTCCTCCTCCTCTGCCGCCGCCGTCGTACGCCTGGCCTTCCTCCCGTGCCTGATCGCGCCGTTCTCCGGTGGTGGCGTCGCCTTGTGCTCCTGCAGAAATTGCACTTAATTTGAGTGATTGAGTCTAGCTAGGAGAGGAAGATATGCTGCAGTGACCAAACGATAAACAAGAGAAACATCCGGGGGTTTTCTGGCTAGCTGCATAAGGTGGTGAGCTAGATGACTTGAACTCGAAGCCTCACCCCTTCTAATTATTTAATATTAATTATTTAATATTAGATTATTCTCTAATATTCGTGTCTTTACCAAACGACAAAAAAAAAATGCACACACAAACACTTTTTCAGTGATGAGCTAGCTATATACTTCCTCCATTTTAATTTATAAGATGTTTTGACTTTAGTTAAAGTCAAACTGTTTTAAGTTTGTAGAAAAAATAATAACATTTTCAACCCAATTTCAACCCAAGATAAATTTATTATGAAAATATATTCAATTATTGATTTGATGAAATTAATTTAGTATTATCAATATTACTATATTTGTCTATAAACTTAGTTAAATTTAAAACATTTTGAACTGAAATGGAGGGAGTAGCTGTAAATATACCTCGCGAGAGCCACGCCTTGTCGTCGTCGCCATCACGACGAGGCCCAGCAGCCTTGGCGGGTCGTCGTGTCCGGCACCGTCTGCGGCGGCAGGTGGTGCGCCGTGCGCCATGGGCGTGTAGTAGGAGTAGTAGGCAGCTGGGACAGGGAGGCCGGAGGACACGTCCCTCTCACATATTCCTTGGCTTCTGAGAAAGCCTGTTTGGGTGCTCGCCTCTGCTCGTCTCGTCTCCATCTCATTTGGCCTGCATTGGTGCAAACGAAATTATTTTTCTTATAGTACTATTCTAGTATGAGGTTACACTGCACAGTGTTTAAGATGATATCTCGAATTAATATCACAGCTGAATAATCTGGTAATGTTGCTATTCATTGGGACGGTGGGACCCTGCGGTCTTCAGTTAACTGAAAACGTGTAAAACACCAGTCAATTTTATTTTTGACGGTTAGGATTGCTCTAAAACTCGTGCTACATCCTATAAGCCTTATCCATCTCTCTTCTTTCACTTTCTCCCCCATTCATCCATCATCGCTGCAGTTACCGTTCTACCCCACTTCACCGTCTGGGTTCCACCACCCTCCGCCGAGGTTCGTTGGCCGCTCCCCACCCCACCTCCTCCCTTTGTCTTCGCCGGATCACACCGTTACTATTATCTTCTTTCTTAAGTCCGGTGTTGGTTCTCTCACGCTGCCTCTCCTCCACCGTCCCTAACCATTTTGTTTGTCTGTCATCCCCCTAAGCACCCAAATCCTCCACTTTTCTCCTCCCTCACCTCCACCCACATAACAACCAAACTACTGGAGTACTTGTCTAAATACATAGCTAGGAGTTGTTACTCCCTCCGTCCCAGTATATTTGACATTTTACTTCCTGTCCATTGTCCCACAATGCTTGACGTTTTAGCAAGGAGCATAGATGTGGGACCGGCGCAGCAAGGTACGATTCAAATTTTACTAACCGGGTTATCAGGAACAGCAGCTCATCCATGATTCCAACGTGGCAGGAACAACAGATCGATGTATTCTTGGTTTGAAATGACTACTCATTATGGTTATTCGAAGTAACTAGTACTCCAGTTAGAGCTATATGGTAATTTTCACCTAAGCTTAATTTGGCTCAACTATGCTAGAACGTCCAGTATACTAGGACAGAGTGAGTATATATTTTAGAACGATATAGTACCATCCTAGAAAGTGTTTATTATACATGAATCACTTTAGCCTCCACCATTTGGCCCAACATAACTTTGTTTCTATCCTTTTATGTACCTCCAGTTAGTCCGCAAATAGATGAGTTTTGTTCCTGTACTCCTTTCGAACCCTGTCAATACTGGAGTATATTTTTCACCAATTCCACACGTACCAATATAAAACACAAAATATAATACCCCCACTTTATCAAATCCTAATATAATTATTCCTCTCTTTACTCCTAGTACATTTATACCCTACTTTCCCAAACTGTGATGTATTGGTTACTCAGAAATAAACTTATTTTGGGACAAATGGGAAGGGCTAAGAATAAACTTTTCATGGGATGGAGATAGTAGGAATTATATACCATAGGAGTACACGTGAAGTTTCTCAAAGCTAGCTCACTTTCTAATTCTAGGCATGCATGCAGAGATTATCATGCTATACTCCTACATTCAACATAGTCCTAGCATGGAGTAGTATTGTCAAGTAGGCTAGGTAGGAATATCTGATACACTGAACACTACCAAGTCAGCAGCTCAGCATGCAAAAGGAATGAAAAGTTCTGCAGTGTCACAATAGGTGATGTACTGTAGTCATCATGTGAGAGAGCCAAGCTGAAAGAATGGTTCCTGATGTGACTGGTGAGCCATATGGATATTAGCAAGGCATGCATTGATACATGGATATCAGAATGTAAAGGAAAAGGGCGGAAACTGTTTTAATCCCTGGAGGGGATATCCCCTCGTTTTTTTGTATGTCACTTAAATGGTAATAAAAAATTTGAAAAAAATTAGGAAGGTGTATTAACATGTAATATAACACTCCACAAACATACAAGTTCAAATTCAACTTCTACATTTCGTAACGAAAAAAACAAATTGAACCGCAGCTAGTTAACGTATATTCAGAGTCAAATTTGTTTTTTTCGTTGCGAGATATAGAAGTTGAATTTTTACTTGCATATTTGTGGAGTGATATATCACATATTAATACATATTCTTAAATTTTTTCAAATTTTTTTATATCCATTTGAGTGACATGCAAACAGGGATCAAAATCCTCTTCCGGAAAAGGGCCAAAAAAGAAAAAAAGGCAGTGACCTTTGCAGCTGTTGCTGCTGGTGGTGGTGGTGTAGCAGCAGCAGTGAGCCCTTTGCATGTTTTGATGAGGAGTGGCATCTGCAATAGGGTCCATTGCACTCATGATGATGATCCTGCAGCTGCATATCTGTCCAAATTTGCATGCCTCCTGCAAATGTTTGCTCCTGATCATCCATCTGCTGAATGCCTGCTCACAAGATTATCAAAAAACATTTTCATTCATAGTACTCCTAGGTGAAAGTGTGCATGCATGAAGAATAGGAGTAAGTACTACCACAAACTTTTGTAGCATTCCTTTGCTATTTGGAAGCTTTTTTCTGTAGGACACAGAATATACATACATATGCATGGTTGTTAAACAGTGTGCCAAACAATTAGGCAAGCACAACTATCTGAAACATACTTATTGTTCTTTGAAATAATGTTGTACTACCTCCATGTATTGTGCATGGAAGAAGTGTGCATAATTATGAGCTTATGATTATTAGCATCATCAGTAGAAAGGAATATATGAGTTTTTTCTTTGATAATGCTTGCATTAATAGGGTACATAGTTACTCCCTCCGTATAAGAATATAGTAATCCAGTGTTTGATTAGACACATCCACCTGTCCAGATTCGTAGTAATATAACACATCTAATCTAGTACTAAGTTATTATATTTTAAATAGATGGATTATCTCACAGTACAATAATGTCTATCTAGGATACAGTCCTACGTATGTCTAACTGCAGGTCCATTACATGAAACACAAGATTAGACTTGTTAATTAATACACTGGACTGTAGGAGTACCTTGCATACCTAGGTCATCATTCCTCATGTTTCTGTACATCTGCTTTGAACATAATAACATCATTAACTACTGATATACCAAGAGCATCTTAGAAAAATAAGAGACTCAATACCCAATGAAACATATATTTTACCAAGAACAATACATATACTGTAAGAAACTGAAGAAAATATATAGTACGCACACAAACCTGCAGATGGCTTTTGACATGAGATATAGTGAGTCCTCCCACTCCCATCAGCTGAAGAACTCGCTTAGGTGTAGCCTCTGAATCAATCACGTAGGATCGATATACAAATGCACATTGCAAAGCACACAAACTACTAGTTAATTAACAATCAACCATAGTATTAATCACTACCTGAACGACAGAAAGAAAAGAAAGAGAAGTGACAGCAAAACACATATATACTCCTAGATCAGAACAAGAAGAGACTGAATGTCTGAAGAACGTACTGTGCTGGCCTCCAAGCTTGTGAATGGCATGAACAAAGCAGTGATGGAGATCAGGCGTCCATCTCAGGCGAGGCACCTTCGATCTGTTGTACTGCCTCACTCCTTCGATCCTCTCCCTCCTCACCATTGTCCCTCTCACCATGGCCATCTCAAGATCACCAACCAATATATATATATATATATAACCTGTGTTTCAGTCTTCAGTGTTCTTCAGTTCTTCAGAGAAATAGAGAGAGAAAGATGCACACGCATGCACACACACCTTGTCAACTCTTGAGAGAGAGACATATAGGACTGAACTTATATATGGCTGCATCCAAACACTCGACAAAACAAGGAGGTGCTCAATAAATGGACTGTTGATCTTGTTCTTCGCAGGGCGTAGGGAGAGAGAGAGAGAGAGGGCAGCAAGAGACAAAAGGTTGGAGACAAAAGAGCTTGTTCAGGCGTCTTCAGATGTGATCATGCCATTTGCCGCAGGAGGGATAATTATGAAATCGGGGCAGAAGTGTTGACCCCAAGAAGGGGAGAAGAGGACATGAGGAAAGGGAGGAAGCATGCCAAGCATCTGCACTGCCCTGACAGTACACCCACCTGGACTGTCCTCCACATTGCAAGTGTGTGTAGTAATAGGGGATTTACTCTGACATTTTGCTCAACAGAACTCCATATGAACAATTGTTCCAGCATTATATGAATCTTAATTTCGACCGTTTCCCTCTTCGGAGGCGTTGATCGTGGTGTATTCTATTTTTTTCCTTAATGTAAAAACCTAGTCTCGGTTTGTTGGTAGTGGTAGGCATTGATAACATATTTGATGTTGTGTCCTTGTTAAGGGCTTCATCTAAAAGATTCTGATCCGAACTATGCCTTTAGCTCGTTAAAGTTAACAAGCCGAGCTGCAAAAATGAGCCAAGGATTAACAAGGCGAGCTAGCTCGTTATCCACCTCATCGGGCAGTTGTGCTGTTTTCTCCATGGAGGTTTTTACCAGTTTTCTACAATTAACAGTATAGTTATAAAAGGGCCTGGTTTCCCTTGATAAATTGGCCAACTTTCTTCTTCTATAATGAAAAAAATCATGAACTCCTGCCTCTTTTCAGAGGTTTTCTTGAAAGAAAAAATGAATCTTTCAAAAGAAGGTGATACTGAATTGACATCAAAGTGAAACTGATGCAAACTAAGCTTCATGCTCCAATATTGGAGTAAGCACTGAAGAAACTGAATCATGTTCAGTCAAACCAAGAATGGAGAAATCTGAAAAACAAAAATTAAGGAGAGGTGCTGATGTTGTCACCCCCCAAATGAGGGTAAAAAAATGGATCAGCTGTACAATGAGAACGGCAAACAGTCGAGGTGGGGGTGGTTGGCTGCTTGTGAAAAATTCCTTTTGCATGCTCTAGCTGGCCTGACTCACTGCAGAATTTTTGCAGATCTCACTCAAGGCACAGTAGAGGCGCCTCTGTAGAGTTTGAAAAATGTTTGGTCTCTTCAACCTAGCTAAGCTAGCTTGGGTATCAAAGAATCCACCGGCCTCCTGCAAAGACAGGCAAAGCCACTGTATGTTCATAGCATTTCTGATGCAGCTAAGCTATGGTTCTCATCGATTACCCATATTCTCTAGTAAGTTAAAACGATTTATTAGAAAATAAAAAATAATTTGTAGCTAATTCTTTTATATATGAAATAGAAACTATGTTAAAAATATCTTACAACCAAATTTAAAATTAAGTTCGAAAATTTTAAATTTTGGCTTTGACTTTGGTTTATTAGGGCTAGGGCTGGAGTACCTCTCATGGTCATCCATCAGTCGATCGATCTTGCAACGACATGGTACCGGATGTCTGTTTGGAATTAAATCTTGCGCAGCATGTTCACAGCAACGTTACACTTGCAGCATTGAATACTATTTCGTTTCCAGTCTGAAAAAGTTGTTGCTCGATCGATCGATCGATCGCCGAGCACAGAGAAATGCAAAAAGGAAAAGGAATATCACCAAGCTCTGATCAAAATTGCAGTAAACAAAAGTCGAGTAGTAGCACTAGTGAATTTTGCGTGGTTGATACATAAGCAGTGGCAGAGGCAGCACGAGTTGGCATTGGCCGGACATAAACTCCGATCGCTTTGCTTGCTAGCAGCAGCAGGAGGAGGAGGAGGAGGAGGCAGAGACAGAGGCGGCAGTCAGGCACAGCACCAGTCTCATCATGGCGTGCAGTGCAGGGCCAAAACCAAGCGGATCACACGGCGCATCATGGCCTCTGCAAGCTGCCACACCCCTGCGATTCTCTATGACACGCACCACCACCACCACCCTTGTCGCTCTGTCACTTGTTTTGTAAGGCCGATTTTAGATCATTTAGCGAATTGCCGTCATGGAATATCTACTTGATTAATTATAAGAGATTTACTCCGGTCAAAAAAAAATCTTATCGCTATTAAATGTTTCGGATCGTTGGATCTAACTGAGCAGGATGAACATTATTAAATTCAACGATTAGAAACAATTTAGTATCTTGAGATACCGATACCTCGACATACTTTGTTGTTGGACCGAAGCAAATATCTAATTATAAAGACAAATTACATATTTTAAGAACTTAAAATCAGTGGTATAAGTACTAGCATGCTATATTGTGGAGCGGAGGTAATACTTATTTATTCCTTATACTAATTTATCTTTTCGCCTTCCACCTTTTGCATCATGTTATGCCATTTTGCCACTTCCGTAATGTTTATAAAATGTAACATAATTATTTATATTATTAGACAGAGGGAGGGCACAAATTTTGACAATTTGACCCTTTGTAAAAACTAATTTTACAAATGAAATGCGGCCAAAACTTATTTCAAAAATGACCCTTTTGTTCAGCGCCAAATTGTATGGCGCTGAATTTAGACACCTCAGCGCCACGTCAACTGGCACTGAATGCCGTGCCACCGTGGATAGGAGGCTGAGTCGGTGAGCCAACGTGCATTCAGCGCCGTGCTATTTAACGCTGAAGTGTCTAAATTCAACGCCATACGATTTGGCGCTGAACAAAAAAGTCATTTTTGAAATAAGTTTTGGCCACGGTTTATTTGTAAAATTAGTTTTTATAAAAAGTCAAATTGTCAAAAATTTGTGGAGGGAGGGAGTATAGATTACTTGACGCAATCTACTATACCACGAAAAACAAGATTTTCTTTAACTGCCTTTTCAATGCTGCTACGTACTCCACTCTCTGCTAGTACTAATCTCTGCCGGTTTGGACGCCGGTTTCGCAACAGTTTTGACGCAGTTTCAGAGCATGCAATGCGATGGCATGCGATGCAAGCATGGAGATCGCTTCAGCAGTTCAGCTAAGCCATGTGAGAGCCGGCTGCAGCCGAGCTGACGACGAGAGAGAGCCGAACAACAACCATACATACTCTAGTCCAAATGGTCGACATGATTGCGCGGCGCGGGGAAGAAGGGGATGATCATTAGTAATTCAGAAGACCAAAACGCTGTTCTTCTGCGTCGTCGCTGATGATCTGAATTTCTGAATATCTGATCAATGCTGTTTGTCTGTCGTCTGTTCGCCTGCGTCTCCCGTCTCCGCTGCCGGCGGTGGTGGTAAATGAAAGCCGGAGCCATCGGAGAGCGCTCTCGATCGATCGATCGGCTGGTCGGAGCTGAGGACGAAGACGTTTTACTTCGTCATCGATGGCTTCGCTTCATGCCAATATCGATCGTCGATGCCCGATATGCTGCCATGCCATGCATGCATGACACCATATGCAATGCGCAGAGTCTGTCTAAGAGACCATTGTTTCATCATCCGCTGAACAGTTTTGAGATCTGCAGTATAAGAACATGAGTTCTTGGCTGGTGCCCGTCGTTTTCGTTGGAGCATGTTGGTTGTTCGTACAAGTTCAAGGCTTTTCACAATGCTACCACAATGATGGTTATGGAAAATAAATTATATGTATGGCAGGACTAACTACGATTAATTGATATCATATCTTAAGACTCCTTTGAAACGCAGAAATTCAAAAATTAGTTTGTTTCCTACGAAATTCCTCTAAAATGCCTCCATGCCAAAAGGGGACGTAATTTCTCGAGTTATGTCAACCTTACAATTCCTATCGTCGAACCATATACCCTCCAATATATTAATCCTCAACTCAAATCCTGTCATTTTCTCTATCGTATCTGTTAGGTATCTGTCAGGGATACGGACAAGAGCAATTTTACGGTTCTTGAGGAGGTATCATGAGGTACCACTTTTTCTATTTTAAATTTGGTACCTAGGTACTAGGAGGTATCAAATTTTACACTAAATTTTTAGAAGGCAAACCTCCTATCCTTGAGGTTGTGAGATATAGGAATACGGTATACTCTCAAGTATATGGGAATGTTACATCTAGATTAGGGAAATCGACTGATCTATAAGGAATTCGTCTCCCTGAATAGAAAGTGTTAGAGTCCTATTCAGAGGAGATAAGGGTTTCTTCGATATCGTGCAAGGACAGGTATCTCCAAGTTCTACTTGGAGACCAAGATGATCTGTGGTATAAATACAAGGCCCTTGGAGGGGGTAAAGCATAGAATTCAGCGCAAGATACCCACCATGGCAGAAGCAATCCAGAGGACTCGAAGTCAACTCGCCGATAGATCCCGTCGAGCCGTTCTCGACAAAGATCTCGTTGGTAATTTCAGGATTATGTTGTTCTCTATTGCACTCTCTGTGGTTTTCTTCATAATCCCATATAAGCTGGATTAGGGATATTACCTGAACCAGTATAATCTTTGTTTCCTATGTGATTGATGTCGTATCGTGTAGATCCTCGTACCAGCGTACCCCAATACCCTTAGAATACGGTCCGCGGGTATCACCCGTTGATAATATCATTCTTGAGGGTCCACGTGCCAGTAACTCAACAACACCTAATATTATGGTAGAGGATACACGTCCTTTAATCTATATTAATCTTTTTTTTTAAAAAAAAAAGTCCAAATACCCTTCTAAAGTTTGATTGGCAGTCCATCTACCACTCTTAACTTTGAAACTGGATATCTAACCTCCAAAAATTTCCACCTAAATATTTCTTTTTACTCCCTTGTTTGCTCTCATTTACAAATGAATACCAACATAATAGTAGTATGACATCACTATAAAAACATAAATTGAGAACCAAGGATTAACGATATATAAATATGTTGTATTCGTTTTTTTAAAACCACTCTTTTAAACATCGAAATATGCAAAACCACCGTCTAAAATCACCTCATGTGTAATATAAATTAGTTCGGCAAAGTTTAGGGGGTTTGGTCTCTGGTTTTAAAGTTTAAAGTGGTAGATGGTTTTTTTTTCTCTATATAATTTAGTACTAGGCGTGTTATTTTGTTGTGCTAGTGTGTTATCTGAATGAAGATATCAGAAAAGAACGAAAGCAAAGTAGCAGCACCGACACCATCTCTGCAAATTCCAACCGTTATTTTTGCAAGTAGCACTAATACATCAATCATGCTGATTCATCAGATTGACGATTTTTATTGAGAAACATGCATGTATGATGTATCCTTGATGGCTAGAATGGCTTGGATGGGAGGTTCTGATTGGCCAGGAAGTACTTGAACAGCTCAAGCGCTTGCTCTGGCATGATGGATGGCACCATGTGGCCGGCTCCTCTCACCGTGACAAATGTCAGTCCGTCGAACACCACACTCCACCCACCAACCTGCAAACGGCACACGACAATCAAAATCAGCCAGACCAATTGGTCTAAGGGTGTGTTTACTTCACGCTAAAATTGGAAGTTTGGTTGAAATTGGAATAATGTGATGGAAAAGTTGAAAGTTTGTGTGTGTAGGAAAGTTTTGATGTGATGGAAAAGTTGGAAGTTTGAAGAAAAATTTTGCAACTAAACACGGGCTAAGCAGGCAAATATTAGTATATATTTAGGAGTAATGTGCAGCATTGGATAATGTTGTTTAGTTCAGCATAACTTTTCTGAACTTGTTCAGCTTCTGAATTAGTATGCACGGTACCTGCTTGTGATGGAACCATGGCGACCAGTCCTCTTTGATGGGCAGGCCAAGCTTTTTCAGCGTGTACCTGGTTGAGGTTGTAGGGATTCTTGCGTCCGTGTCGCCGCTGCTCATCATCCCAAAACAACAGTAGAAAAATCATGGTGAATTTGGATGGATGTCAGTAACTTCTTCAGAAATGGACCGATGACATCGATCATGATGAACAAAGAGCAGAGTAATCAGAATCACATGTTTGACTTGGCAGATCAATGTTAAGAGTTCCCCTAGTACTTAGAATGTTCATGGCCATTACAGGAATAACATTTCTTGATGACAGAAACTTCACCTGTAAATCCATATCCGGAGCCCTGATTGAGTGAGTTTCTTGACGATTGGAAGGACAGTCATGTCAGAGTCGTTCCATGCTCGGTTGATAGAATTACTGCCAAAATTTGTCACATGAACAATGTTCAGACACCACAATTGCATCCCTGATCGCAATATAAAGCATATTTTTGAGCAGAGATAAGAGATTACTGGCAAAGGGAGTATGCTCCAGGGATATTGGCATGCAGAGCTTTCTGAACATCTTTACGGTTGAAATATTCAGTCGCGTACGTTTGCGAGCATGGATCATAGCCCATTGGTATCTTCAGGAAATCAAACTTTTGCACATGAAAATATTAAAAAACATACAGACACACATTGATCAACGATCGTACACATGATATGCAGAGAGAAAATGACTCAGAAATTTTTTGCTTAGCTATTACTGAAGTCAAGGTTGCTTACACGGCTGCTGGTCCGTCCGATTTGTGCTGCAAACGACGAGTTGAAGTTTGGGTATCCGAGCTCGCATCGAGGGGTGTAAAGGCTGTAGATATCTATGATGCTGTAGAGAGCGTTGAACTGATCGATTGCAGCGTTGCACTCTTTAGACAGATCAACCAAACTGAAGTTGCAGAACTTCTGAAAGTCACTGTAAAGTTTGTCTGAGATGAGTGCGTGATGCCATGCAGAATCAACAATTCCTAGCAAATCCGTGTCACCATCCATGTAAGCATTTCCTATCTGGAATAAGCACAAGGCAAATGATGAAATTAATATAACAAATCAATTGTTAGTTTAGTTTTTTCTTTTTCTGAAAAAAAAGACCAATTGCTAGATGCAGCCATGCAGGGATATTGCAATTGGGGAATACCATGATGCCTTTCAAGTTTATATAATTTTCTTTAGGTGCAATCTTGTTCTGATCCACAATCACATTAGCAAGCTGGGGAACGTAATGTCCTGCATGGTGGCAAGAAATGTTAGTTAAACATACAAAGATTAGTACACATCCATGAGCAAATTAATCATGATTTAGTATAATGAGCAAGTTTGGTAGACCTGCATAGCTCTCTCCAGCTATGTAGAACTCCTTCATTTTGTGCTGAGGGAACCTCTGGAACCACCTGATCAGGAAAGTGTATGAACCATATGCTGCAAATCATTCATAAAACTCATCTGTTATGGAGTACTTCTTTTTCTGAATGTGAGTACGCCATTATACAGTTTATGTTTTTATAAGATAATAGAAATGGTTTATATCTCGGGTCTGTGTATTACTAGTTATGTGATTGTCAAATACATACCGGTGGAATTGTCTCCTGGTGGATCTTTTCCAAAGGATGTGTTGGTGTAAGAAAACCCAACACCAGCAGGAGAGTCCAGGAACAGCAAATTGGCAACTGAAAAAGTCAAAAAGATCATCAAGTAAACTTCACAAAACTAAAGATAATTTTACTAAACTATCACAAAACTATAGAAGGTGTTGTATCACAAATCTACAGATTTAGCGACACGTTTATCATAAAACTACAAATTTAAAGTTAAGTATCACAAAACTACATATTTAATATTAAAGTTATCACAAAGCTACAGATTTTAGAGTTTAAATATCTAGCACTACTATGCTAGAGTTGTAAATGTTACAGTTTTGTGATTAAATTGATACTAAACCTATAGTTTTGTGATAAATTTGCTAACTAATCTTCATTTATTGATACTCCATCTTAAATCTGTAGTTTTGTTAAAGTATCTGTAGTTTTGTTAAATTTACTCAAAATTATTATATAGCTAGTGAGCCAGCCCCATTTCCACCACTGTGTTTTGATCAAGAAAAGATTGACTGTGACATGTTACTACTGGTTTAACTACTGTAATTACCTTGGTTCCATGCGTATGGATTCAGCTCAAGTTCAGCCACATCTTTCTTCACCAGAAATGGCCCTAGCTCCTGTGCCTGTCCAAACCCAATGGAAGAACATCCAGGTCCTACAAAATGCAATTTCAAACAGCACAAGGTTACACTTTTAAGCTAAAATTCTCTCTTCAAATTTCAGCAGTTAGTTTTATTAACCAGAATTCCCAGCTGTCATTAATTAGAGATAGATGCACTTGGTAATTAACCTCCATTTAGCCACAAGACGAGTGGCTTCTCGTCAGGCTTGTCAGTGGCCTCCAAGAACCAGTAGAAGAGTGCCTTGCCAAGGTACTCGTCAGTGGTGACATAGCCGGAGTATTGCCTGAATTCCGGCGAGTAGGCCGGCTGCCCGGGCAGCGACATCACGCGGTCGAGCTCCTGCAACTCCATGGCCGCCGTGGCTGATGCATCGAGGCTGCCCGTTTCAGGCCGTGCAGAAGCAGCTGGGCCACACAGTGTCAGTGTAACCAGTGCAAGAGAGCCAAGTAGGAGTAGCAAGCAAGGTGACGAAGTCTGAACCTTCATTGCTGAAACCTGAATGTTTCTTTCACTTGGGTTTTGCAAGACAGTGTGGCATAGGAACTGTATATTTATAAGTGTGCAGCCGGCCTGTCAGAGTTGCTATGTACTCCCTCCATCCCTAAATGTTTGACGCCGTTGACTTTCATATTTCACCGTTCGTCTTATTCAAAAAATTTAAGTAATTATTAATTCTTTTTCTATCATTTGATTCATTGTTAAATATATTTTTATGTATACATATAGTTTTACATATTTTACAAAAGTTTTTGAATGGTTAAATATATTTAAAAAAGTCAACAGCATCAAACATTTAGGGAATGAGGGAGTATGTTCGTGTGTGGAGACAAGTAGGTCGAGCCATCGGCCGGCTACAAGGAGTATTATTTCCGGGCTTCATTATCATGAGGTGCATTATGTAGTAATACGTATTTATCTCTCGAAACAAAGAAAAATCTGTATCTTTCAGCGGCTTTGAAGGTACCGGTATTTTACAGTATTACCAATTCAGAGAAGGTGAGCATATGAATTGAAGAACAAAAGTATATGCTTTAGTTCTCAATCAGATCCTAGAATGCAAAGAAACCTGACGAATGAAAAACGTGTTTGTTTCTTTTTCAATAATGGAATTCATTCCGACTTTTGTTTCACATAAGTTTTAGCTAATTATTATAGAGATTACAAACTGAACGATTACGGGTTATAAAATTACAGTTTAATTAATTGAAAAAAGAAACTACTTGTAATAAGGATAGAGAAACTGCTTCGATTAAAAACGATTTTGTTGCATCATTTTGTGGGCTGAGCTGTATATGCCTCCCCCTTTGGGCCTATGTTTGCCGGCTGCTGCATCTTGGACAGGCGTGCTTGCAACTGTCCAATTTTTTCTCTTCATCGTCGTCGCTTCCTCATGTACATTTTTTCACCCTCTTACGTTGTCATTGTTTGATTGTTTGATGTATGACTAATAAGCCGTGAAAATATAAAGAAAAAAAAACTAATTTATAAAAAAAACTTGTATATATGTGTGTTCTTATTAGCGATTTTAAAAGCGAATGTTAGAAAATAAATTAAGATTAAAAACCTCAAAATTAACTGAAATTAAGTTTCAGAACCTAAATTTTGGTTGTGGTCAATAAGCCAAAAGCCTTTGAGGATAATTGTCCCAATGAGCCGAGTTATTACCCTGTCTGATAGGCTTAGTAGTTAAGGATGATGAGAAAAAAAAATGTAGTGTCCATCGTTAAATTATGGGTGGTTGGGAAGTGGAAGGATGATAGGGAGTAAGTTTGGGTAAAATTTACTTTGGGATACTTTAGATTTGCGACATTTGGGGTAGAACAATTTAGTTCTAGAGTGATTTTATATTCCTTGAGAAGATATCAGGAGTTAACACATTTTTTAATGTAAAATTTAATACCTTCTTGGTACTAGGTAGTATGAAAAATTGCACAAAAATTTTTACTCAAGGATAAGTTCTAAATTTTAAAACAACTTTTGATTTCGGTAATTAAGGATAAGTTCTAAATATTGCAAAATATGTTCAAATTCAGCCAATATTTATTCAAAATTAAATCTTGCACAATTGCTCAAGGGTAAATATGTCTTTTTGAATGTTTTATCCTATATTAGAAAAGAAAAATAATGATTCGGGTATCTTTAGGCAAGTGATCACAAAACTAATCTAGAGTGTTGTTGACGACCAAAATTGGTAAGTTGTGAACTAGGTTCGGCATAGGGATCGAGGCAGATTCAACAAGGAGATGGATTCGAAGAACAGAGTATGCATCGGCTACGAAGGCATCGGCTGAAGTATGCATCGGCTGAGATGGATCGGACAGAGGACAGCCAATACAGCCGATAGAGGTGATGCAGCCGATTCCGATGACAATGGTTTCAGAGATGCTTCTAGAATCAGTTGGTGTGCTTCATGAGGATTGCCATAATGGAGATAAAGCTCTCGGATAGGCAATTGTATCTATTAATTAGAATATTTTGTATAATTTCCTTATATATATGTTTGGCAAAAGTCTGCCGCAAAGATTTATGATATCTTAGAGTTTGTTAGAGATAAGTGTCGTGTCCGGCAAGGGCATATCTTGTATCTCGGGTATAAATAGAGCCCGAACCCATGTAATCAATTAACAACAGTTCAATACAATCTCGGCGCATCGCCACCCTTTTTACTTTCGTTTTATTTCGACGAGTTCTTACTTTCGGGTTGAACTGCATCGATTCGATCTTCAACCAGAGGTAAACTTGTTATGGCGGCTTGCGTTCTCGGGGTTAATGCTTCCATCTCTATGACACTTTAATCCTGATTATGTAATTCGTTGAGTTATCATATACATGCTGTAATCTTTGTTAGTTGCGCCATATAACTTGTTATCGGCTGGTTCTTTATTGTTAGGAAGCAATCGGTAGAGTTATGTTTCGCTATTAATCTAGATTGTATCGTGTATCTACCATCTCTTAGAGGTTTTCATCATCTTGCCTAGATCTTATACTTGTCTTTATGCTTAATGCTGAATCGGTTGAGTTCAATCTATTAAGTAATATCTATAATTATGATATCTAGCTTGTTTTATGATTGTCAAGAGAGTTAGTATCGGGGTTTCAGCCGATCTTACCTGATTTAGCTTTACATATTATATGCTTAATTGACATGCTAGATCTGCCCTTTATATTAAGATCTTATTGCAATAAAGTATATTAGGCTTCTGTTTGATATATTCTACCTGTTCTAATATCTTAATATAGAGTAGTATCGGAGTATTAGCCGATACATGCTAGATCTATCTAATCGGCTATGCTATAAACGTTTATAATCTTTATGTTAATGTATATTTCGATCTAAGTGATTTATACTGTCTCGGCATGGCGACCGATCTATCCCAATCACTTGATTTAAATATATATCGACAGAAGGATTGTATATCGTTAAATATCTACAGCCAATCGGGTAGATTTAGTTCTATCTTGCTTATTTATAACTGCCGATTGATTCCAATATGACATCGGCTTAAAGATAAATGATGTGTCATCGGCAACTAGCCGATCGGCTATCGTTTATGGATTTAACCGTGTTTTTTCTCGTCTTTGTTTCTTGTTGATTGCAGGATTAAATCAACTAGCACGCTCATGAACCTAAAAGCAAGTTTTTGGATCTGCACTGAAGTTAAGCAGATCTTCCAGGCTAGTGTGTGTTTTTCGCATCAACAAGTGTCCTATACTAAAGAACAAAAAAGTTGGAGTGTCTTATAGCAAATGCCACATATTCTAAAGTGTCTTATAAGAGATTTTGCCAAATGATTATATTTGAGGACGAATGGCTGTTTGATTGGTAACTAAATTTGTCACACCTAACCTTAAGTAAGCCAGTTTTCATAGACAATGTTTAGTTTCTGCCACAACTCTATTTTGCATAACTCTTAGCCAACTGGCTCACATGCCATAAACACTATTTTCTTTTCTAACTTTGCCTAAGCTTAGTTTGTCATTTTGTTTGTCACAAAACGTGACAAAACTAAGTTTAGTCGTCTTAGTAGAAAAAATATATGTGGTAATATTAGTTTTCAGTCAGACAGGCTAGAAATATTTTAGGATGGGCGGAGCAATATCTATATCATCCATGTCATCTTGCAAGTAGTATCATTATCATACCCAACTCTTCCAATGCATATTCTACTACTCTCATCATATCTTGGATATCGTGTAAAAATCAACTCATGTAGAATCGAGTTTCATCATTTTTCTTCCATTTAATATGAGTATATGACGTCATATCATATTTTCATTTAATCATTGCAAGAGATGATTCGAGGGGATGGGAGATAGGCGATCATGTGCGGAAGAAAAGCATCTCGTCACTCTTTGCTCTTCTAGCAAGAAATGCATTATTCAAAGCACAGCATTTCTCTACTTTAAGGCTTCTCTCTACTAATGCTATACTTGCATTGGCTGCTACTCTTCTGCTCCTACAAGAGGGAAGGGAAGGCATGTGTTGAACAACTTAGAAGCACACACGAAAACACTCGTTAGGAAATTGACGCCATTCCTGAGGATTTTCTTTTTCGTGACAGTTAGCCGAAGCACTCGTGTTCACAAGGTAGGTGTGAATATTATATTTCAGTTTTTTTTTCCCTTCCAGAAATGAGTTCTTTTAGGACTGGGAAATTATTTTGAAATAAAGATATCTCAATTTGTTAAGTGCAGTACTAATTCTTCTCCGTGCATCTAGGAATGGAGTACTGTAGTGGAAGAAGTGCTATATCTATATATATATATATATATATAGAATATATAGTATTTTTACCTGTGAAATATTTTCTTGCTGGTGTAGCAGTTTAGCGATTTTTGCTGATGCTAAGCAAGCTAACGGAATATTGTTTTATGGTCTTAAAGAAACGATGAAGCTCCCGAGGATGGCACCCTATTGACGATCTTAATCAGCATCATCATCATACTAATTAAACTGCCTAGCTAACCGTCCACGAGCCAATTAACAGGTATTATCACTTCTCTTGCAGTTCGTTTTTTCTCCCATAAAATTAACAGGTATATAACCAAATTCTCGTACAGAGAGTGGTACAAGTCCCTTTGTTAGTTTGATTCTGTTTATGCCCTTCACATTAATATACGTGTTCAGGTATACTAATTTTTGGCACGTAGACATAATTCCTAGCACAAATATTGACTTTGCATTAATAAGCGCTAAATGTTATAAGAATGTGCATATAAAGGTAAAGCTGGACGAAAAATCTCGTGACTCATTAGCTCGCTCGGCTCATGCCTAATTTAGGCCGGTGTGACTCAGCTCTTTTGGATTTGTTAACGCGCGCTGAACTAGGATTAATTTCAGCTCATTTAACGAGCCAGCTAGATCGAGGACTCAATTATGCAATTGGCAGAGCTCCTGCCCGTCTTCCCCTTGAAAAAAAAAAGATCAAGGACTCACGTGAGTGAGAGTGCAGCGTCTAGAGAGAGACATATCCATCAATGGTTTTACTTTTTTTTTAGGGGTTTGGCCCTGTCATATTGGAAAATGCTTCGTGTCGTGCGTCCGACGGGAAGACAAACATCGGACGCCAACTTCCTCCTCTATACTAGTCTAAAGTTGATTCATCTTTCCTAGTGTTTTTCCTGATTTCTCTTTCCTCATTACTTTTCCTCGGCCGCATGCATGCACAACTTGCATGCAAGTATATATGAACGCGCAAATTGAGATATGATATTTAAAACCATTTTTTCTTCAAAACTAATTTTGCGATTCATGATCCGATTATTGTGGTGTATTTGTTGTTATTAAATTTACAATGAGATCTCACATGATTATATTCTGACAAATAAAATATATATGTTTCAACTGTTAAAATTCAGTATTTCACTCAATGAGAAACAAATGTTTCAATTAGAATTGGACTATGTTGCACTTTAAAGTTTCTTTTGTTGCAATGGGTTTTTGAAATGTCGCATATGGTACTACCTGTTGTTGCAATAAGCATTTCATGATGTTTTAGTAGTTTTTTTTAATCAAAATATAGCCATGTGAAATCTTGTTATAAAGATTTTATTATAACAAATCCAATGATGCAATCAAATCACAGATCAAATATATATTTTAAGAGAAAAGAGTTCAAATAATAAAAATATATGTATACATTATAATACACTACTATTAGCCGTGCATGCTGCATACACAGGCTAGCACATGCGGCTGCATGCACTTGCGCTTTGCATGTAGTGCTAGGTGCACTGCTAGTAAGGGCTGTGCGGCGTTTGATGGGTAGCCTCCTCCTGTCATATTGGCACTTGGGCTATTGGGCCCCCATAATAAAGGCACCAAGTTTCAGGCCCCGACGACCAACTGCCTACCTAACCACCGAAGAAGCAAAAGCTTGTGAACGAGACCATCCAGACCAACATCTATCCATCCTTTCTTCCAAGATAATTATTTCTCACATGTTTTGTCGACCCTCATTTGCCTTTTCAGATCAGGAATGTTCCTTGAATTTTTGTTGTAATACTGGGTTAATCCGGCGTTCTGGCCGGTTGGTTGGACTTTTGTAGTAATCAATCAATATCAATGTTTCATCATGAGAAAGCCCTAGGGGTTCTCGGCCAGATGAGTGCTATCCAACTCGAGACTGTGTTTAGATCCAAAGTTATTCTTCAAACTTTCAACTTTTTCATCACATCAAAACTTTCCCACACACACAAACTTCCAACTTTTCCATCACATCGTTTCAATTTCAACCAAACTTCTAATTTTAGCGTGAACTAAACACAGCCTTAATAAATTTTGATATAAGAGCCTCTCATTTCCAGCAGTTTTTTTAATGTATCATCATACGGATTCGTTGTTTTTCTTTCCATTCTTATTCTGCTCTTATTCTACAAGTTTTTTTTAATGTATCATCTTACCCCCATCTTAATAAATTATGCATCTGTTCTTTTTTTTTCTGGTTTAGCTCGAGCTTGCAAACAAGCATAACCGAGTCGGCCTTTTAGCTTGTTAAAATAACGCACGAGCCAGCTCGATATCCACCTCCGTGTGTAAAGCCTTTTCTCATATGATGTCATGTATGGTGAGCGCGTGGCCGGATATATTACTCCTTCTTATGGAAGAATATCATGCCTTGTTTAATTTCCATTCGGTAAAATTTAGTGAGAACAGACTAATGATGAGAAACGTGTGCATAGATAGCTCAGGTTGTATGGCATGTGGTGCTGTTTCATGAAAACTTGCGAGGCTACCGTTGCTTAATACTCCCTCCAGTTTATATTATATAAGTCATTTGACTTTTTTCTTAGTTAAACTTCTTTAAATTTGATCAAGTTTGTAGAAAAATATAGTAGTATTTTCAACATAAAACAAATACATTATTAAAATACATTCAATGTTAATTAAATTTAATGAAACTAATTCGATATTTTAGATGTTGCTAAATTTTTCTATAAATTTAGTTAAATATAACAGAGTTTGACTAGAAAAAAGTCAAACGACTTATAATATAAGACGGATGGAGTATTTAAGATAGATACTGAAAACTAGCAAATCCAATACAACAAATACACAATCATTAAGGTCCAAATGAGTTTTTTCCTTGAAAAATTCCAGCACTCGTTTCTTTTTGTTGGGGTCTCTAAACTTATGATTTTTAGTATTGATTCAAGAATATATTGTTGTTTAAGTAAAAAATTAAGATTTGTTATTTTTGTCTCTATCACAATGAAATATATTTCTTCCCATGAACGGTCATCCGCAGGGGGAGAAGACTTTAATTTGGAAAATCAAACACACACACACGAGAAAATGGAGAGCGTGGTGCAACTCTGGAGTGACTGGGAAATCCAGTTGCTAATGCTCCTTAGCTTCACACTGCAGATGCTGCTATTCTTCAGCGGAGGCTTGCGGCGGTGTAGCACCAAGGCACTAGTTAGGTTTTGCCTGTGGATAGCATACTTGGGGGCAGATATGGTAGCACTTTATGCCCTTGGTTATCTCTCACGACACCAAGATGTCATCATTGGAGGGAGCACATTGAGGGAGGTTCACCCACTGTCTTTCCTTTGGGCACCATTCCTTCTCATGCATCTTGGTGGGCAGGATACTATCACTGCATTTGCCATTGAGGATAACAACATGTGGCTGAGACATTTGTTAAATCTGGGAGTCCAAGTTGCTTTGACCCTATATGTCTTTTGGAAGTCAGTGGATCGCCATAATGTACATATCCTAATTCCTGGCATCTTTTTATTTGTTGCTGGCATCATCAAGTATGGAGAGAGAACATTGGCACTCATGCAGTGAAGACAAGGCAAGTTTTCCAAAAGTAGATGGAGACGAGGTTGACTATTTTGGCCTTGTTTCTTTTGTCTTGCACTCAGTGCCAGGCATTCGAGAGCTCTTTGCAGGACATACCTTGCACCAGATGGAACAAGATCATCGGGAAGTATTGACATCAAAAATTAATGAAGTGCATTTGCCCAAGTTATTGGAGATAGAGTTGTGTCTGATGTATGATGATCTGTATACTAAGGCTTTGGTGCTTAGGACAAGGAGGGGCATAATTCTCCGGTGTGTATCCCAGGTATCTCTAGTAGTTGCTTTCATTATCTTTCAAGTAATAAGCAACACAAAGAGATATAGTGGAGCAGATGTTACAGTGACTTATGTGTTATTTGCTGGAAGCTTTCTTCTGGAAGTTTGTGGAGTATTTACCTTTATTATGTCACCATGGACCTGGGCATGGTCCAAGGCTAAGAAATGCAATGGAGTTAATCACATTTCTGAATTTCTTTTCTCCAGCAATAGTGGATGGCCGAAGGAAAGGCCGTTGTGGTCTAATTCCATGGGGCAGTACAATTTTCTGAGCTACTTGGGTTGTGACGAGTCAAGGCTGTCCAAGCTAGTGAAAAAAGTAATAAGGAAGATGGGGAGCCTAGTTGGCGCTGGAGAGGAAGCAGGAACGTCCTTGTGGATGAGCAAGCTGTTAGACACCAAGTATGTTACGGTGGATAAGGAGATCATGCAATGTGTCATACACTTGATCTATAATTATAGTCCATTTGGACCTGCAAGCACGGATGATCAACGCTGGCCAAATCTTGGTCCGCTGAAAAAGTTACTACTGGACTCATATGAATTTTGGCTATGCTATTGTGTACTTTCATATATTTACAGAGGTGCACCTATCGAACTATTATCTTCATGAGGTATTGGCCAGTGTGTGCCGGAAACTATCCAACTACATGCTCTACCTTTTGGTGAGACACCCTGAAATGTTGCCGGTCAGTGGCACTGCTGAACCTACCTTGAAATTCTTTCTTGGCAGCATTACTTACAGAAATGACCACTACAAGAATAGAACCCTAAAAAGGGCGAGAGATCGGCTGCAAATTCAAGAACCTGCAGATATGGGCATAAAGACATTAGAGGAGATCAGAGACATGTGGGCGATGCTTCTCATCTACTCTGCAGGCAAGTCCAAGGCAAACATGCACGCAGCGCAGCTGAGCAAAGGCGGGGAGCTCCTTACCTTTGCTTGGTTGCTTATGGCCCATCTACAGCTTGGAGACGTTGGCGAGCAATTTGAATTCCTTTTTGGCAGCGTCCCTGGTCCGGAGAGCAAAGAGGACAACAGAGACTTGCAGTGGCGGAGCCAGGATCTCACGACGCCTAGGGCTCAAATTGAAGGAACTATCCATGATAATTCATACGCTGAAGTACAAAGTACAGATAAAAAAAACTGCAAGACTGAAATAACAGAGCAAAATCAAGCCTAATTCAATTAAGAGATAACCCATTGGAAAAACTTGTGACTATCACTTTTTACCATCTTTACAACAAGGTTACCAAGGTAAGAGCAGCTTGAGAAATCCAAATCAAATCTCATGTCACAAATAAATGTGTCAAGTTGGTCTCTAAGGACTGTACAAACAAATAATCCCTTCTACCTAATGTTTACATCCAATTGTTCAATTGGTGTGAGCAGCCCGGTCAACAACAATCACATTTGGAGCAAGCACAACATTATTTTGCCCATTGTTACTATCCTCAGTTCCGGCTGTTTCTAGTGTTGTGATGTACTCAATCAGTTTCTGTTGTTTCTGGGGTTGGGTGGACAGAAATGATATTAATGTTTAGCACCTCTTCATCCAGGAAATCAAACCAATTTCTAATTGACTAATTACTATCAAATGCAAAATAAGAATGCAGATCCAAGATTAGAGAGGAGACTCAATTGGATTTTGGGAACCAAGATTTTCTGGCTGCTGTCGTCGGCCGCTGGCTCGCCGTGGGCCCGTGGCTGAGGAAGCCAGGAAGGTGAAGTGCCGCCGGCTGTTGGCTGCTGTCGTCGGGCCATCGCCGGCTCACCGCCTATGTGCGCCCGCTGTCGCGGCCGATGCGCGCGGACGCCGCTGCGGAGACGCACCGCCGTCGCTGGCTCGTCGCCGATGCGCGCCGGGGACGCCCCCTTCCGCCGATGTGCATCGGCGCCGCTGCTGTTATCTGGTGAGGAGAGAGGAGAGGAGAGGACGAGCGGCGTGATGCAACGCTCCTCTGTGATGCGTGTGAATCGTGATGGGTGGCAGGGGAAGAGGAGAGGATGCGGGAGGGTAGGGTTGGCTTTTTTTGGGCTGTGACCTGTGATGGGCTGCCTAATGGGCTGGCCACCAGGGGCTGTGAAAGTCTATGTGTGGGGCTGGGCCAGACGAGTAGGGCTGGGCCATGGGATTTCGGAAAATCTGGAAAATATATGGGTACTAGTCCACTAAAAATTTTTGCACGAGTAGGACTTGGGCCCAAGCTGCCCTAGGCCCAGTTCCGCCCCTGTCAGATAGCATGGTAAAAAAGGAAACTTCGTCTCGTTTAAGGTAAACTCTACCGCTCACCCGCTTGCCCCTCCTAATGAAGGTTTAGACGATTTTGATTGGAAATCGGATGACTAGAGTTCCGGTTGGGCATAGTGGATTCTAATCCCTCGAGGGGATATCCCCTCTGTACCTTTTTCTTCTAAATTCGATGCAAATAGTTGTGAAAAATTCTAAAAAAATTGACAATGTAGAGTATAATGATACCTACTAGTCCACCAAAATTCATGATCAAATTCGATCTACACATCGAGAAACAAAAAAGACAAATTTAGATATAAACAGTACACTACTATTCATACGCTGAATTTGTCTTTTTTATATCTCGACGTGTGAGTTGAGTTTGGACTTAAGATTTTGTGAAGTTGTATATATGTTTTGTATGAATGTTGTCAAATTTTTCCAGAATTTTTCATAACCGTTTAGATGGTTTTTGAGCAAACGAGAGAACATCCCCTCGACAGATTAGAATAGTTTCCCCATATCTATCTCCTAGAAGTATTCCTACCTTTGATGGGTTTATGCAGGGGCGGAGTCAGGATTCCAATGTTCTTATCATATATTTTTACAGAAGAAGGACAAGAGACATAGGAGTATTTCTTAATGCTAATTTAACTCTAGATTTGTTTTCAATATGAGTAAAAAAATGATGCCCGATAATGCTAACATTATTTGGCCATTCAAAGTTATCAACTTTTAACTTTTAACTTTTATGATTTAGCGCTAAGCAAATAGAATGTACCTTATATAATGTATGGAGTTGACTGCATATATAGTCCATAGCCTATCTATGAGAAGGGATGCAGGTGTACAGTCCTATTACCCATATAAAAACTTGCTTGCTAGTTCATTAATTTCTCATATAGTAACACAAAATTTAGAGAAAAATTGAATTAGAAGTGGGATAAGCGGGCGAGAAAAACTCGCTTGCCGCCACTTGCATCCCTATCTGTGAGCATAGGTTCTAAAATCGCATAGTTATTTGTTATATAGTACAACGCAAATGTGCATATATATGGTTGAGAATTGGTTGTATTTAAAAAATTCATTTTCTTTTCTACTTAGGCACATTAATCAAACATGATGTGGGTCGATCCATGTATATAGTAGTTCTTTTTTCGTTGAAAGATATTTGTTTATTTGTAATGCTAATTAGATTAGGATAAGAGAGATTTTTGTTTCCTCATGCAAAGATCAGTACTAGTAGTTGCTTATTTGTACTGCTAATGGATTTTATTATGCTTGGTAGGCCGCACGTTATACACCATTAGCCCATAATTAACACATCAACAACCAAGCGAACAGTTTTACTGCTCTAGCACCTGCTCTTTGGCTGACGTACCTTATATTGCACTTGTGGTAAAATATTGAGCATTAGCTTATATTGGCTGGGTGTCATCGGGGTCAGATGACAACAGTATATGTACTGTGATCCGCCCCTACGGTTTATGTAACATACTGTTAACGACCAAATTTAGTAAATCATGAGCCAGGTTCGGCTTTAGAATCGAAGTGGATTTGGCGAAGAGTTAGATTCGAAGAACAGAGTATGCATCGGTTGCGACGACATCGGCTGGAGTCTGCATCGGCTGAGATGGATCGAACAGGGGACAGCCGATATAGCTGATACAACCGATACAGCCGATTCTGATGAAGATGGTTCTGAGATTGCTTCTAGAATCGATCTACGTACTTCAAAAAGATTGCCACGATAGAGATAAACTCTTAGAAAGGCAGTTGTATCTATTAATTAGGATATGTTGTGTAATTTTCTTAGAGATATGTTTGGGCAAAAATCTGCCGCAAAGACTTATGGTATCTTAGAGTTTGTTAGAGATAAGAGTCGTGTCCGGCAAGGACATATTTTATATCTCGGGTATAAATACGACCCAAACCTGTGTAATCAAACAACAATAGTTCAACAACACTTTCGGCGCATCGCCACCCTGTCGGAGCTCAAAACTAATTACTTGGATCCAACTCTAATTAATGTATCAATCCCTGGATCAGTAGATATTGATATATACAATATAACCAGTTCTTCATTGCATACGTTAAAGTTTACAACGCTAGGGGTTTTACAAGGGTAGGTACTTACCTAATTAGACATAAGTACTAATATTACACAGCGGAAGTTTTAGTACATTCTGACTAGGAAGGTATAACCTTTAGGGGTTTTCTAAATTATCGAGGTCATCGTAGTAATAGTCATAGGGGTCCTCTTGACCCAAATCTGAAAAAAGGGTTATGAGAGCAAGAATGAGTATTCGCAATACTCAGCAAGTTATCATGAAAATATGTTATGCATTGGCATATAGTGGGGTTCTTTGCAAAAAGCAGTAATAAACAATCTGGAAGAATTACAGCAGGAATTTATAAACATATAGACTTTAGATTTCTAACCAGGGTACCATATGAGTCCCGGTACTCAACTCCATGAGTACGGCTATTCGAATAGTTTCAAAGATATTCTACTGCAGCAGATGTATGCTTTACCCGCAGTCCACGACTTGCTGATAATCATCGGCTTTAGTCATGGCCCAGTATTAAGTCATTAACAATTGTGGCACCTGTTCCATGAACTTATATCCTCATATGCTCTGAACGTATTGTTAACAGCAGCAAGAAGAGTTCTGGCGTTCCCGAGGTATTTAAGGGGAACTGATCGTATGACACCACATCATCTCGATCAGGGTTTAGAAATATACCATATAGTTTATACTCGAGTATCACAAACCATTTACCTGTACATGGTAATGGTTAAAGTTGCCCTTCGCAGCAATAGTTGCCTCCTGCGCGAGGACTTAAATAAGAACCACTATACAGAGGTGCCATATTGCTAATTAACATAATAACTAGGCCTGTCCCCATTTTAGAAACTGCGGTCGTACCCGTTCGTTCGACATAAGTACCTAGTAAAACTTATATCGATCGAGACAGTAGTAGCCACCCGAAAATCAACCAAATCTTACGTACTGTCCCAATCTAAGTATAAGGTATTTTAACCAGATTGTAAGCAAAATAAGCGATACTAAATTATCTGGGTTTCTATGGTTGAATTATGCATATAAAATAGAATATTGAATAGAAGGCTATAAATAAATAATTTGTAAAATATAGGATTAAATGATCAAAAGGTATATGGTAACTTGCCTTGCTCGATGTCCTGAGATTGATTGATATTATCTATTGAGTCAGAAGAATCCTCAAGACCTAGGGTTAGACATATAAAATTCAAATCCAAAAGGAATTCAAATTAAATCCAAAAAATAAGAAAAATAGAGAAAATAAAATAAAATGCAAAAATAGCAAAAAGGGGCTTAAAAGATAGAGAATGATTTTAGAAGAATATTGGTCCAAGTTTCACTGGAATTGGATCTATATTTTAAAAGATATGGGCTTCTAAAGTTTGAAAATCAAATAAAAGTGAAATGGCACTGTGTGCGGGTCCCACTTGTCAGTCTCTCTCTCTCTCTCTCTCTCTTCTCTTCTTCTACCTCCGGCCGTTCCCCAAAAGCGGCCAGCGGCGCTAGGGTTGGCGATTGCGGCAGCGATGGAGGGAAAAAGGGGTTGCGGCCAAGGAGGGGAGGGAGCTAGGGTTCTCCGGCGACAGCGAGCGGCGGCGGAGGGGTTAATTTGATATGTGGACGGCCTAGCGGCTAGGGCGGCGGTGACATAGTTAAGCCATGAAGGCGATTGGGATGGTGTGAGTTAGACATGGCTCGGAGAGGGATTCTAGAGAATCTACGGAGTGCCTAGATGGATTCCGACAGCTTGCCGACCTTTGGCAAGGCGCGGAGAATACTTGCCGACGAGCACCTCCCTTGGCGGCGGCCGTGCTCACGTCGGCAGCCCAAAGGGTGTCATGGTAGTGCAAAGGGATTGCTAAAATGGAATCTAGGGAGTACGTAGATGGTTGAAACGGAAGAACTCACCGAGATATGCCGAGATGAAGGATTGCGGCCGGAAAAACTTCTCGGCGGCGAAGAACAGAGCAACGCGGGGGCGGCGGTGCTCAGCTTGGTGCGGCGAGGTAAAACTCGATGCAGGACTTCGGTTAGGGTCTAATATACTAGAACATAGTTGATATAAGGTGTTCTAAGGGGTATTTAGGGTGGAGGATGGATGGAGGGGTGTGGAGTCGATCGCGCACAAGGTGTTCGACCGACGGGTGATGGTGGTTGATGAGATGGATTGGTGAAGCAGAGCTTTGGGGTTGTGGGGCTATTGGTGTTGATGATCGATGATGGACAAGGAAGGGATTGGGGTCCTATTTATAGGGCTAGGAGGAGCGGATGAGCTCGGACACCGTCATCGCCATGGATGAGCTCGATCTTTGGATATGGCTGGGGCAGCAGAGGCTGTGAGAGGGCGGCCAAGATGAATTTGAGTGGCGGGAGGCCACGTTTGAATACTTACTAGCGAAGGATTGGCTTGACCGTGTGTGAATTCGGCTGGCGACGTAGTTGAATTTTTTTTATTTTAAGTCATTTTTTTGTCCCAAAATGTAATTTTAAAATTAAAATTTCAAAATCTATAAACATGCACCAATATTTTGGGACCCTAAACAGTTTTAATTCAAAAACTTTTCATCTACAAAGTTTTAGGTCGCGTCGAGAGCTACAATTTTAATATAAAGTTTGTCTTCATTAAAGTTCACATGAAAAAAGTTTTGAATTATTTTTAAATATAAAGTCTTTAGACCGTCCTATTTGACCCAGATGATATTCAAATCCAAGTTTAGGGACCGGGATGACACAACTGAACAAGTTGGAGGATCTAAATGAGTGTTCTGCAAGTTTAGGGACCGGGATGACACAGTCGAACAAGTTTGAGGACCTGAACAGTCGATTTGCGAGTTTAGGGACCGGGATGACACAGCGGTACAAGTTTAGGGACCGGTGATGGACTTTACTCTTTTATTATTTTACGCTTGTATAGTTGAGTTTATGTATGAATTTACTCTATCCGTTCTGTTTCATACTTTCATACTCCCTCCATCTCATAATATAATATGCGCACGTATTTTAAGATTAAACCTTTAAAATATTTAACCAATTCTTAGTATGATATGTAATGAATTTTATTTGTTAAATATTATATCATTAGATTGAGATTTAAATTTACTTTCTTATGGTTATAATTTTGTTGCTACAAACCATATAGTATACGAGAAATTATAAGCTAAATATTAGTTTTCGAGACCGTACCAACTTTGACCACGCTTTATATTATAAGATAAAGGAAGTATTATAAGTTGTTTGACTTTTTTAGTTAATTTTTTTAAGTTTAATCAAATTTATGAAGAAAAATATAGTAGTATTTTCAACACAAAACAAACATATTATCAAAATATATATTGTTAGAATTAATGGAACTAATTTGATATTTTAGATATTTTAGATGTTGCTAAATGTTTTTATAAACTTAACAAATTTTGACTAAAAAATATCAAATGATTTATAATATGAAACGAATGAAGTATTTAATTACGGTCACGCAAGCTCATCCACCTATAAGTTCATATCTACTCGAGCTATCGAGAGGTAGACGAAGACGAAGACGCCATGAGCATGATAACGGTGAAGGTGAAGACGCTGACGGGGAAGGAGGTGGAGGTGAGCATCGAGGCGACGGAGACGGTGGCGAGGATCAAGGAGCAGGTGGAGGCGGCGGAGGGGATCCCGCCGCCGCAGCAGACGCTGATCTACGGCGGCAGGCAGCTCGCCGACGACATGACCGCCGAGATGTGCGACCTCAGGCATGGCTCCGAGCTGCACCTCGTTCTTGCTCTCAGGGGTGGACTACTTTGATCGATCAGATCGTTTGCTCCTGATCAGCTGCTAATACTCTGTTTCTATTGATAAACTTCATTAATTACGGTCGATGTTAGTTTGTGTGTGCGTTGCAATAAAGTGCAGCTGATTAATCGTCTTGTAGTATGCGATAATTTTCTGTGCTTAATTTGCATTCCTCTTCTCTTTTTTTTATAAAAAAAATTTTGGCAGAGCTTTGCTTTTCATTCAATCAGGGAAATCTGAAAATTACAGAGGAAAAACGAATCGGCAGACCTGAAAATTAAAAAAAAAACTGAATTTGACTATATTGCATTTGCATCTAGGCTCAAGCAAGCACGAACCACCATTTGACTTTGATAATTTCGAAGGAAAATATCCACATATTTCTTTTCTTATATATATTTCAGTGGTCCACCATTTACCGTTATAAAGGTTATATAGTAATAGCTTGTTTGAAACTTTTGTGGTTGTATTGATAAACAGCAACTGTGTGCTAGATCAGAACATGGATCAGCCTTTGTTTCGGTGAATTTGGTCAAAGACGTTGGGCTAGTTCTTATTTTACCCTACTACTTTCCTTATCTTGAATTGTCACTTAGATTTTTATAAACACTGATTCCGCTGGTTCTTGAATCAACTTTAATATTTTTTATTGAATAATTTCAAGTATATTCCCTTCGTTTCAATTTACTGGGTCAAAGACACATTTCAGTTTTATCCTAACCCAAACAATTATAACAACATGTTACTATATATGAATATATTATAAAAGCATTTCTCATTGTGATTTAAAAACACAAACCTTCCTCGCTGAAGAAAAAAAAAGAATGAAAAGAATATGGAGCATGGTAGCCACCTGGCTGGCTTACCAGCAGCTCGACCCTGGGCATTGGGGGATGACCCAAACTGTCAAAGATTGGTGGGAGACTCTAGCTAACACGGCATGGGTTCGTAGGAGAGGTTTGCGCACCCTTATCCTATTCATAGTTTGAGAGATATGGAAGTAAAGGAACCAACGAATCTTGCAGCACAAGGAGGCCACGTCATCTTTGCTCTTCGTCAAGATAAAGGAAGAGGCGCGGACTTGGACGATGGCAGGAGTAAAGCATCTGCGGGACCTTCTGCTCCTCCATGTACAATATTTAAAGTGTATAAAGTTTTTCACTTTTCTTGTCCCTAGGGATTGTTTTTCCTTCCGCTATATTCAATGAAAAGGCACAATCTAGTGTTGTTTTCCCCTTAAAAAAAAGCATGAACCTTATGACAATAATCTATAGAAATTTTCAAAAACTGATAGTCAAAGTTAGTAATATAATACTTGATTTGAGGCAAAGCTAAAATGATAAGTGATTTACAACTAAGGGAATTTAACATTTAGATGTGGTGTAATATAAGAGCTTCAAAATTTTATTATTATAGGTATAATTTTCATTGAGAGTGCCAGACATGGATTTTTCTCATTTTCAGCATCATGGTGTTACTTTTAAAACCCAAAAATAAATTATGACATATTAAGTGCACAAATATTGGCAGAAATCAGCTGCTACTCTGTTTCAGTTGATAAACTATAATTAGTTACTGTCGATGTTAATTCAGTTTGTTTGCAATAAAGTGCAGCTGATTAATCGTCTTGTACGATAATTCTGTGACTCCATAGTCCTATAGATACTTCTCTCTTTTACCTTCAAAAAATTTTTGTTTTTTCTCTTTCTCTTTTTTTTTTTGGAAAATTGGTAGGAGCTTTGCTTTTCATTGAAGCAGGGCGAATGAAAGTAAAAGAGAGAATAAAAAACAAAAGCTCCAACTTATTTTTGAGGGTGAGATACAATAGAATAAGTAATTGTGTGCTTATACTGAATTGCGATCGTGTCCTGGTAGGAGTAGATCAGAACAGGTATCCGTGTTTCAGTGAATTTGGTAAAAGGCATCGGACCACTGCTTATTTTACCGAATTTATCCTGTCGCATAACTTCAATTTGAAATTACTCTAATAAAAATCCAACTCTTTCCCGCAAATAAAAAATAAAAAATAAAAATCCAACTCTTCTTCTGTTTCATAAATCAACTTGAACTCTTATCCTGTTTCCCGCGGTTTTTCATCCGGATATATATCTGACCGATTTTAACTTGCTCGTCGCGGCGATTTCCACCGATCGATCGATCGATCGGTAACCTGACCAAGACGAAGAGACAATGGAGTCCGCATGGACGAATCTCCCCGGCGAGATCATGGAGCTCATCGCCGACAAGGCCGGCGACGCGCTCACCGGCCGCGCCCTGTCCCGCTCGGTCTGCCGGTCATGGCGCGCCGCCGTACCGGAGACGCCGCGGCTCCTGCTCCCCGCCGCGGCCGCTCGCGGCGCCGGCGACGAGTACGCGCTCGTGTTCCCGCTGTCGCGCGGGTGGTCGGTCGTCGTCGACGTCCGCGACACGTCGTGCCGCCTCTCCCACCTCGCCACCGGCGCGACGGCGCCGCTGCCGAGGCTCAACGCCGTCCGCGCCACCGCCGGGTCCCGCGTCGTGCACCTCGGGTACGAGCACTCCGCCGCGCCCGCGCCCGCGCCCGCTCCCGCTCCCGCTCCGGCCAAGACGACGGCGAGGCGCCACCGGAAAAACTTCCGGGTAAAGCGCAGGTTCCACCTGGCGCGCGGCGACGACTGGCACCGGCCGATGCGGCGGCGCTGGGAGGTTCGGATGAACCCGGCGTGGAAGCGGAGCTTCCGGCTGCCAGACACGGAGCACGCCGGCACCGGAGACGAACAGTTCTGGATCAAGATCAAGTTTCTCTGGTATTCCATGTTCCTCGAATCCGACCTCCAATTCTCACACTTGCTCCGCTTCGCCGTCCATGTCCCGGCGGCGGCGAGCACGGACGGCATGCTGATCATGATGTACCACCCGGTTCTGGGGACACGGGCATGGTCTTCTGCCGGCCCGGCGACGCCGCCTGGACGAAGCTGGACAACCCCATCGACGACGACAAGCATGTCTACAACTTGGTCGAGTTCGCCTACCTGGACGGGAAGGTGTTCGCCATGGACAGGGGCGGCACCACGGCGGTGATCGACGCCGCCACGCTCGAGGTGCTCGACCTCGTCGACGCGCCGCCGGGGACGCGCAACGTCTCGAACAAGCTGCTCGGCACCGCCAATGGCGACGACACCGTCATGTCGCTCGACTACCTCCACCTTGTCGCGCTGCCGAGCAAGCTGCTCGTCGTCAGGGTGCGCGTCAACAAGTCGTCGTCGGAGCCGGAGGGCTTCGACGTGTTCGAGCTGGGACGACAGGATCATCGCGACGGCGAGGGCAAGCTCGCCTGGCGCGAGGTGGCCGGCGACGACGTCGGTGGCAACTACGACCTGTTCCTCGACGACCACCACGCCACCTTTGGCGGCGGCGGCGGCGGCGCCGGCGGCGATTCCGGTAGCCGGATTTACTACGTGCACGACGGGAAGGAGGCGTACTGCTACAGCAAGCGGCATGGCGAGCTGGAATGCGTGTACTCGGCGCCGGAGGGTAGCGAGGAACAGTGTTCCACCATGCCTAGCTGGTTTGTTCCATAGATCCATAGATTAAAGTTAGATGATAGAGATTTACTCCAGCCTAACAAAAATTATCTCGAGATATCGGTACCTCATGGTACTGTGAGGTACCGGTACCTAAGGTACTTTTTGTTGGGCCAAATCAAATCTATAAATGATATAACCCCGCACGTTGTTGTGTGTCTGCTATGTTAGAAAGTCTAACATTATGACGATGTCAAATTGATCAATACTCTATAAGATACTTGTCAAGATTACGGATAAGGTATACCCTCTATCCATGGATATACGTTGTATACTGATATGGTATACCCGCGCGCACACGAATGTTTTCTGTACACGTTAAGGCAATCTATCACGTAATAGAAACGGAGTCCACCGATGGAAGGAGTCCTACTCGGACAGAACTGGGTCGTTACCATATCGTGTGGGGTCTGATATCTCCAAGTTCTACTGGGAGATCGACTGACCCGCGGTATAAAAGGGACCCCCGAGCAGGACCTAAGGCATCGAATATCACCGCCAACACATCCACCACATCCTATGAAGCCGGAGGCTACAGGAGCCAAGTCACCGGGTGATCTAGTCGAACCAACTCGATTACGGTCTCGTCGGTATCATCGAGTTCCATCATTCCCTTTGTAATCTGTGATTTCCATCATATAATCCCATACCAACTGGATTAGGGCTATTACCTATCAAGGGGTTTGAACCAGTATAATCCCTGTCTTTTGTTTTGCTACCCCAATACCCTTTATATCCGGTCTACGGATATCCACCGTCGATAATACTGTATTTAAACAAAATCTTCTTTATATTTATGGATATAAACCCTTAAGCAAAATATCAAAGAAAATATTTTGTATGACAGGGAGCGAGATATTAAAGAAAATATTGAATGATGTCTTGTATTAGAAAACAACGTTGCTTGATTCCTCCAAATTGTCTTTGCCCGGTTATCTTTTGCCATAATTACTTTTTGTAAAACCAACTAGATACATTGTTTTGTATGGCAACTTCAACTTTCATAAAATTAAATTCTCTTGTAGATTCTTACATTAAAATCCAAATTCGCATTATATATAAATTTTCGCCCAAAATTACTTTTTTACTAAATAAAGTAGTCATTTTCATTTGACGGGTTATATTAGCTGGTCGGTAAACTGACAAGGTTTTGGTGCTTATATTGAACTGCGGATTGTGTACAAGATCAGATTTCAGAACATGGATTGACGTGTATTTCGGTGAATTTGATCAAGCACGTCGGGCTAGAGCTAATTTTGGCCAAGTATCTTTATTTTGTTACAAAAGTTCATCTTGAATTACTTCTGATAAAAATTCTAACTCTTCTCCTGTTTCCTAAATCAAATTGAATTACTTGAACCTTTACTGTTTCAACCACGACGAGCTTAATAAATTGCGCAAAATTTATTCACGTAGATTAAGAGTCCATCACGATCAGAAGTTGCACCGAATTGTCCGGGTACGCCACAATTTCGCGAAGATAAATACCGACGGAAATGAGAGCAAGTTTAATAGTATAGCCAACTAGCTCCAATTCGATTATAGCCAATCCAATAGCTCATTCATATAATAGGTATATACTACACTATTAATATCTAGTCCCACTTATCATACACACACTGTGTCTTAGAGTCCGTGCTACAGCTGGCTACAAATCTATAGTCCGCTGCTCCTCTCTCTCTCTCTCCTTATTTATCAGTATGTTTACAGATGCATGCTCTGAGTAGGCCACGTACCAGAACATTCGGGCATTGCCAGGTCCACGGTACGCGTGTCACCTCACATGACTCCGGGACGTGTGCCGCCGCTTAAGCCCGCTCTTTATACGTGCCCTGCAACGGCAATACTCTACCACTGTACAGGGTAGTAGATCTTTCGTACGTTGGAGCCGGCCGGATCGACGACCATGGGGTGCGACGACAAGTGCGGGTGCGCCGTCCCGTGCCCCGGCGGCACGGGCTGCAGGTACGGCGATCTGGTCGCCCTTGGCATCTTGGCGACCGTGAAACCAACTGAACAATTCAAGTGTATGTCCACGCGTGTGGGTGCAGGTGCGCGTCTTCGGCGAGGAGCGGCGGCGGCGACCACACGACGTGCTCGTGCGGCGACCACTGCGGGTGCAACCCGTGCAGGTGCGGCCGCGAGTCGCAGCCGACGGGGAGGGAGAACCGGAGGGCCGGCTGCTCCTGCGGCGACTCCTGCACCTGCGCCTCCTGCGGCTCCACCACCACCACCGCTCCCGCGGCCACCACCTGATCCATCCATCCATGCGCCCAAAAATGCCCAACGAGACGTGTTTATACGTGTGGTTAAGCGTGTGTACGTGCGCCATGCTTAGTACTCATAGCTGCTTAGCTAAACAGCACAGCTGATAAATAAAAAGGGCTTGCTGCTTGAGTCGAGTCGTATCCCGTTGTCTAGTTCTGGCTAGACTCGCGCATCACGCATGCAACGGACATGGTGATACGCGAGGGATGGAGAGTTCGGAGTTGGGAGACACTGTGTACTGCAGTACCAGGTTGATAAGTGTGTCTGTACTTGTGTAAATATGTTTTACATGAATAAAAAGGTTGGTAACTTTGTCATGTTTATCAATGCGAGGGGCAATGCTTTTCTTCTTCGGGAAACAAAAATGCGAAACTCAGTATGGAAACATACAGCACAGCTGACATTGTTACCTGGACAAACATCTCTTTAGATGAAATGAACTGAACTGCAATTCTGCAAATATCATACACAAACGTTCAGAGTAATTCATGAACATTTCCACGTCAAATCTGACTGCTCCATTATCGAGCACAGCCTCTGAACTTTAACCAGAAAAGAAAAAAAATGGTGCAGTAACCTATCATGTATTTGCCAATAGAATCCCGAGAGCAGTGCAAATGTCAAATGGATAGAGCAACCAACAGAGAAGACACAGCACTAGCATGGCAGCTGCCTTGTCTAGAACAAGGCCAGCTACCTTAATTACCTTATGCCTAGAAGAACAAGGCTGCGTTATGATTTATGAAGATACCCCAAAACACAAGAAGGCATCAACATACATCTTGAGGATTGGGAGCCGACAATTGCAAAGGTAGACCCATATTCTATGCGGTAAGATCCGATAATTTCATATGTATGTACATCAACCCAAATAGTCAAATACAACACGGTAAAAACAAAGGCATGACGACCATGTATGGAAAAGTTAATGGTGGGGGTGGGATTTCTTTGTTTTATTTTCTCCTGAGACTGTAGACAGACGCTGCGTTTGAACTTGGAGGGGCTAAAAAACCTCTTGCAAAAGAGCGGAGTTGGTGACGTTATGGGCAGCGTCTGGTACGCTTTAGCTACTGGCCAAGATTGCCAAGAAGACGCTCCACCGCAGCATTCACATTCCCAGCAGTTGCGACTAGCGCCTGGATGTTCTCTGCAGTGTCGATGAAACCCATCTCTCGGAGCTGAGTGAGCTGTGTTGCATACAGTTCTTCCGGTGGAACTGAATCACAAGTGTAAAACCATAATTAGTGATGATACAAAAACATGGAAGATGATAAGAGTTACTATACAAACCATTGGATGTATTGGGTACACCTATGCCACCTCCAGCACCAAGCCCACTAAGCATGCCCATCAAGGTGTCGAGGCTAACATTTCCCCGCATGCCTGCATTTTATTTCATTGGCATTTGCCACATTACTTAACAAAAAGGTGAAAAAAAATGCATTTGTAAGAATTTAATTATCAAATGCTCAGTACTCGAATTACCACTACACATCTAACATTGCTCCACAATTTAGAAGGCAGTACAGTTGACTACACAAACAACTCGTATAATCTCTTCCATACCAATATAGCACAGTCAAGCAGCTAAAGAGCTCAGACACGTTCAACACATAACAGATTACTTAAATGGAACTATGGTTGTGACTAAAGGTGTAGGGAGCTCTCATCCATTCTCCAATAATCAAATCCACAAGCAGCATTCAGTCATAGGCAACCCATTTCCATTTCTAAGTAAGGAAAAAAAATCATACATGTGTCACGCATCACCCCAAAGACCTTGTTTTGCGATCCCCAAAACGAGGCCTGGTCGCACGGTCGCACCATATCGATCATTGATATTTCTTTTTTTCCAATATTTCAAGGAAACTCAAATTTAGAAATTCCAATGTTATGCACCACAATAAGGTAGTGTCAAGAATCAACCACTAGTAATAATCATCATAATGTGTTTATATAATGTAATGGCCTTATGGAAGAACGGAAATCTTGAAGAACTAATACAGGTCAACCAAGCAGTGAAAGAAAGGCAACTATTGGTGCTAGAACGAACCACCACTAAAAGATAACTCAGTACGCACTAAAACTTATGTAAAACCTGACATACTAATCCATCTTAAAACAAGAAAAGATATTAGATGGTGCATATTAAAAAAACAATCAAGAGAAAATACCTGTCGCATTGCCTCCTTGGCTACCATCCCTGAATCAAGAAAATCAAAAGATAATTAACAAACACATAATGAAAGAAATACAGTATAAATGAGCTAGATGCAATTCAGGTACTGTTGAACAAGAGTTACTCACTGCCTAGGTTGATTTTGACCAAGCTGTGATAATAATGTCTGCTGGAACGAGAGTAATTGCTGCCAAAAAAGGGAAAGTTAATCTAGATAGAGATGGAGCTAGCCACATACATAAAACGTAACATATGTTACCTGCATAGTTTCTGGGGATGTAAGCTGGCGAATAAATTCTGGATTTTGGAACATTTCCCTCAACTGAGTGTTTGATTCCATGAGGTTGCGTGTATTTGGGTTGAAGTTAAGCAACTGTGGACATTTTAAATTACAGAATGATCTGAAGTTATGACTCTAACATCATCAAAGTTATATAACAAAATAAGTTAAGAAATACCGTACCTGGTTCATGGACTGTGGATCAGACATGATATTCTGCATCATCTGCATCATAACAGGGTTTTGCAAAATCTGGCTCAAGGAAGAAGAATCAGGAGAACCACCAAGCAAACTTCCCAAATCTGCTGAACCCAACCCTCCTAGACCACCAGTAGCACCAGTTCCTGTATTACCGGCAAGACCACCAAATAAACTGCTCAGATCAGCTGACCCCAACCCTCCAAGGCCCCCAGTGGCACCGGTTCTTGCATTGCCAGTAGAACCTGCCCGTGTTGCTCCTTGCGCACCTCCAGCTGTCAATTTAAGTGTGAAAAAACAATAGATATATAGATTATCAAAAACAGAATAAACAAGAGGATTGAGAACATACCATTGGAGCTCCAAGGATTTGGAAGTGGATTAGTGTTTGGAGCAGGGGTTCCTGTTGTAGACTCTGAGCCAGTATTTGGAGCATTTGTAGCAGGATCCCTTGGTTGGTTAGAACCCTGATTTCCAAGAAGAGCTGAGAATGGGTTTGGAGCTGTGTTGCCTTCTCCACCCATTGTTGTCGCATTTAGGAAAGGCTCCTGGACAGTTTCATACATGCGTCGGAGCATATTAAACCCTTCAGGAGAAGACTCAATGTTGCTCATTGCTCTGTCTGTGTTCCGCATCATCTCCCTCATGATTTCAGGGTTTCTGGCTGCTTCAAGGGTCTGGCGGAGAACACTTGGATCATTGAGAACATGAGCAAGATCTGGATTCCGGTCGATGATATCACGCATTTGAGGATTGTTCATGATCATGTTACGAATTAAATCAGGGTTATTCATGAGATTCTGCATCATTGGCATATTCATTATTTCCCTCATTAAGTTGGGGTTTTGGCTTAACTGCTGCTGCATTTGATCCAATTCTGGAAATCCAGACCCAAAAAGACCAGATGGCCTGGTACCAGCAGTTCCTGTACCACCAAGGCCAGGAAACAAACTTCCAAGACCATCTGTTGGGCCGCTGCTAGGAGCAGCTGAAGCTTGGGGGCTGGCTGCAGCAGGTGCAGCTGATCCGGCTGGGGGACCAGCGCCACGCACCATATGAATGGTATGATCTGTTTCAACACCTACAAAATATAAGGAGTGTGAGAAGCAAGAAAAGAATTATGCTTGATAAGTCAGAAATTTGAACAGCGGGCCAGCATATCTACATAAACAAAGAATATTCCAATATCTGATGTAATCATATACAAGAGAATTACAAATGAAAACTTCTAAAGAATTCACATGTGAGAGACTAAAGAAGATAGTGCATCGGATGACTATGCCATAAATCCTCATTTATGGCATGTTAACATACTTAGCGTGCCCAATATTTCGTATTACATGAGAATTACTTGGTACTCTCTCATAAAAGGTAACAATTTTCCCAGAAGATGTTTTTCTTTTTTGTTAAGGCATCATTGATTCAACGCATTTATTTAGCAGCATTCCACCATGTAAGGATGTTCAGAACATGTCTTTTGAAAGTTGTTCCCTTCTTTTCCTCAAATACACATGCACGATTGGCCAATTAACTAACTAACGTTTTCCTCATATGGAAGTTTTTGCATAGCAAGAAGCTACAATCATAATCAATGTAATAATTAGTTAGCATCATTACCCGCTGAAAATAAATATGAAACCATGAGCTGACATAAATACGAGTTCCAAACATATATACACTTCCTGCGAATCAGCAAACGTACTAATTTATTGTAACAGTAGCACTAGAGAAACAGATTCACGTTTTCCTTTTTTTTCAAAAGACAGCCCACTGCTTAGTTCCATTAAACAGAACAATTGTTTGGTTTACTGTTCTCGGTCACTACTTTGTAATCAACGGAAAGAAAAGGATGATTTTACATTTGGTGAACCCATTTCCATAGCAGGGTTGTGCACTTAACCAAATAGTGTTTAAGAAAAATTGTTCAGTTGCATTGCAAACAACAAATTGAAGTATTTACTTGTATTTGCACTTCATAAACTACATTCAATAATAAAGTGCACTCTACCCAAAGTTCACAGATAAAAATAAAGCCCATATGATGCTTCATGAGAAAATAAATTAACTTTCACTACAACTCCAAGAAGATTCTAAGATGTCACACATTGCGACATAATAACAACGTATGCGTAACTAATACGAGCAGTAGCTTACATGGCCCCATAAGTCCATAACATTTGGAACTATATTCGAGTCGCGACAAGATGAGCTGCCTTCAGCTTCTTCATCATCTTATACGCTACGTAAGAGTAACCGTTCCGTTCGCAGTATACATTATCATTAATACACTACACACTCTATACTCGCATCACCCAATCACCAATAACTGTGTAGAGAAGCAAAGCATATCGACGAATCTGTTTCGCTAGCATGCATAGGGCACCGAAGCGGATTGCTGCACCTTGTCCCCCATGAACAGGAGCCCCAGGTATAAACAGGCATTGCATCGACAAAGCTAAATCGCGGCTTCTTACAACTACACGACTGAAATCGAGCACGTAGCATGTCAATTCCAACCCATCGGACCAAAAATCCTGACGATTTGATGGGTTTTTTTTCTCCTCCTCTACCTAACAGTCCTAGACACTCACCATAGCTTTCTAGGGTTTGCTCGTCCTTGAGGATCCGGCCCTTGTAGATCAGGCGCTGCTGCGCCGCCGGCACGTCGCA